TGCCGGCAGATAAGAGGATGCCTACCTAAGTAGATAGAACGACGTGTCCTGCTGCTTTCCCTCTCTTGGTGAATATCAAAGTACCGTAGATGGGTTCTTGCCAGAGCCGTGAGGCATCTCAAGGGTAACAAGGTGCAATGACGCTGCTGGGTACCAATTCTCACCATGGAACAAATCAAGAAGGTGCGGCAAGTTACCTGTAGCTTGATGCACCCTCGCACTTTCCTCCATTCCCAACCAAAAATGGATGCCCTTTCAGGAGCATCTCCCGATGACGATGGATGGATGTTTGGATTGTGTCACTTCAGCCTGACTATACCTCACCGGATATGATTCGTATACCTCACTGGATATCAAAGAAGCAGGTAGTCGGCGCCTTTCTGCTATCGCAGTCTGTTAGGGGTGGAGGAGAATGATGGGGAGGTGGCCGTTATTGGACTTTGTCGACTTCGCCTAACTCTCAAACGCTACCTACCTTGACGCCGGCTCCGCCTTGCCTGTTACAACCTCACAGTTCAGCCGTGCTTCAAGTCCGGGACACATTCGCTAACATATCAAACTTACCTTCTTCGCAGCGGCGAAGCATCTTGAGAATGAGATCTATGCTCTGCAAGACCCCCAGCTTCTCGAACCCTGTCACCCACTTAGCGTCAGGCGAATAAGTTATATGGTGGAACATGCTACGAGAGCCCTAGGCTGCGGTGTCTCGGCGCACAACAGGGCTGGACGATCATCCGTTGCGGCTGCTGTCGAGGAGGGTTGTTGTCACTGCATGCATGTGGTTCATGTGCTCCCAGCACCCATTATGACAGAACAATGATGAGAGTCTTCGCTTCAACGAACTGCTTGTACTAGGGCTTGGACTGAGGCTGCTCGCTGCTCCAATCCCCCCTGCTCACCTTGTCAACCCCCCACATCGAGGGGCACCACGGCTTTCACAAATATCTCTTGGCTCTTTTCCATATCGAATACGCGTGGTATAACGGCTAGAATGCATTCTGACACCGTTGCACGAGGTTATAACTAACCCTAGACAGACAAGGGTTTAGGGCATGCAGCTATTTTTACAAAGTGCTTGGGTAAGGGATTCTACTCGTACTACTACGGACCATGAGTTTCGCGAGGTTGAACGAACGCGATAATGGCTCCCGCCTTCCAGCATTAGGGCCTCTTGCGTGGCTTACGCCCCAATCGAAGCCTGGCTCACCCTGTGCAATGGCTGAGCGTTTCCGTTTCATAAACACCGTTTTGCACATTCTTAGCAAAGTACAAAGTCTCCGAGACAGCCCCCAAGTGTGTTGGCACTTCCTAGACTCCATGCGAAAATCTAGGTAGCACAAAAGCCCAAGACAACCGTCGAACTTCCCCGAAGCCTCAAGTACATCTTCCGAAAACCAGTTGACCACGCTACCAATGAGGAATCCGCTAATTTGCGGCTGTGCGACGTATATCTCCTTTTGATATACACATGTTTCTCATCGAAGATAAGATTGCAGGAGAAGGGACGAATTGCCGTGCACATGTTTGATGGACCGTTCCGCTGAAGATGGTGTTATGCACAACCAATATTCTTTTCGAGACGGAGATGGAACACAGATTGGTTTACTTGGTGATCATGATGATTCCCTGTCGGTCTAGGTTGTTCGAAAGCCATTCGATAATTGCAATACACCTCCTCTCGCGAGCACCCTTCTTGAGTCTGAATAGAACCAACATACATCACCTATCTGGTACAGTACCCTCACTAAACACTGGAATCCGACGAGGACAGACCCCCTGAGAGCTTGACAAGTGTCAAAGAAGGATCACAGGCCCCGCTTGAAGAGCGCATTGGTAACTCCAAGCTAAAGCATGTGCACTTGGAGCTATGCGAATGATGCGGGCAGCACCATGCCCTATGCAGCAACCCCATCAAGTGCCATTCCAATCAGACGAGCAGCACTCAACGACAGGATTTTTGTCTAAGTGATCTCTTGACCAGACGATGATGTCTGATTTGTTCGATTGCAAATGTCCAATCTTCCACCACCTCTCCACCAGGAAACCAGTCCAATCCCGACAAGGTCAAGGTTCAAGTCGGCAACGAAAGAACAGATGGAGGGTGCACTGCGGGGATTATTTTATTCGTCGGGACCGCACTTGACCACCTACCACCTGTGTCTGGCGCTACTGCCATGACCCCCCTGTCCAGTCACTTCCGGATGCAGACGCCCTGAAACGGACAAGGGTTTTTTATTGTCTGGGCCTAGACGGTGGTCCGCTAAGACATCCAGCGGGTGGGCGGGCTCGGCGGGGAGGGGCGTGCGTGGTCGTGTGGGTGGCATACCTTACCGTCTCAACCGTCCGCCACTTTACGCGGTACAGTACTGGTCTACGCGCTCCCACTGCAGCCTCTCCTCGCAATTACTTTTTAGATGGCTGTCGCCAACACCTCAATCATAATTTCTCTCTTATCCATCGCGACCTCCGAGAACACACGAGACCGGTCTGGGAAGTTTTCGGCGCTTCGAACCTCATCGCCCCACAGAAATATGTCTTTTCTGGCTTGGGGCCTTACAACTCAATTCGTAGATAGTGATTGTGTGGGGTCCACACAGAAGTACCACTGTCATGGTGATATAGCTGGCCAGAATATATGCGAGGACGCGCTGGAAATTGACACTGTGTCGCTTTGATGAGCGTCACCTCTAGATTCTTACATCTGCAGTTTGGAGAATGTGCCAACAGTGGCTGTGGCTAGTCGCGACTTACTTCCGAACCAATATGGCCAGGGATGGCCCTTGAATGTTGAGCTTGTGAGTGAGCTCTAGATCATTTTCAGGTGAGCGTGTTCTACGGCAAAGCAGCCTGTTGGCTAGAGCGTCTTGAAAGATGGTCAGCATCGTCACATTAACCGATGTCACGAACCATAGCATTGAGCATGACGATGCCGGGCACCCGTGGCAAATGCCGGAGTTCCAGCTTCAAGATATATCATGAAATCTAAAGCGTCGGAAACCGTCTTCTCGCTCGCGCGAGATACATGAGTACGGGCGCAATTTCGATTGTTAAAACCTGGATGGCTCAAAGTGCCCTTAAATCCTGCCGCTGCAACTCTCGCCTCAAGAAATCTCGAAGCAAACGTTAGGAAACATTCATGCCAAGACAAGCCGCCAGTATCGGGCCATATCCAGGTCCTTTTCAGCCTCAATCAAAGCTGAGATCGGTCTCGTCTCTTCAGATCTCATCGATTATACGGTTGGATTTACATGCTCAAACCACAGTCACTCTCGAAGTGTCCCATACGGTCTATTTACACAAGACGCCTTCAAACTTTAGTCCATTGCTTACTGAGCTTGTGGGTCTCCAATCGGAACCTGCATCATCAATCTTGAAGAGCCTCCTTTGGTTGTGGAAGCCGAGGATTCGTTTACCCCTCTTCGACCTCAGCTTTTGGTTCCAAGACCAGACGTGCAAAGTCTCCACCCCGACGGGCGCGTCACAAGACTGCAGATATTGCTTTTTGCCCCTCAGAATCTATAGTGATTGGGGACTAACCATGGTGTCGTATCTGGCCAACTTTCCAGACAATTGACACGGGAAGATGTCGTGGATTCCCTGCAGCTGTCGCCAAAAGGAAATCTATTTATGGGGCTTCGGCAGCATCTCCTTGACGATCTGCGTTTGGTCATCAAACACAAGACCCAACCCTAACATACACTGCGGGCTACCGTGCACTACCGACTCGACTTGGATCGCTCTCCTGACAGCCGCCATGATTGCCGAATGCAGACGGCATTATGAGACTCCAATTGCTTTTCAGGTGCCAAATCTGCTGGTGACTTGTTCCTGTCCTGATGGGCTAGGCCGCGCCTCCAGCTTGGGATTCGCTTCAAAAGCAAAACTGCTAAACCCTTTACTTGGGATTTGTCGGCTTTGCTCCGCCTCCAAGTGTTCCGGAGCAGGATAAGCGTTGGTAGAGAAACTCCACCCAAGCACACAAGCCTTGCATTGTGTGGTGTCCGGGAATTCACTACCTGCATGCCGTCCATCAAATTGTATCACTGGAAACATCCTTGACAAAAGTCTGGAGCAATGCCACACCACCAGAACCACTTTTTGCTGATTTCTCGTCACATATTACATTTTATCTAGGAAGTCCCCAGATGGCAGCACGGACCATGCATTACCAGCCTTACGGGCGACCCAACAGAATCGAGATCACTCACACCTCTACTAAGGTAACCTAAACGGCTTCACCGTCATATGTCGCTGTACACCTCGCCAGCATCTGGCGCCACCGACGATTCCGACTCCCAAGCCCTCTCGTGTGCTCCTGCTATGCAGATGCAGTGAAAGTTTGTGAGTGCATCTGCTCAGGCCCGTAACGCCTGCGCCTTGCAGAGGAGCGGTCAATTGTAATCGCATCGCTCCCCCGCAGAACAAGCTTCTGCAGATCACGGACCTAGCGCACAGTCTGGGTGGTCCCCTTGACGACTCGGACTCGCTGACCGTTGCTTCGCTTGCCCACCTCGGGGCAGACTGCCAATTATGGTGTTTGTTGTTGCGAATCGCTCTTCGTTGGCTGCTTGATGGGTCGATTTGCTGGGTGTTCTACAGTGTGTGTGTGGTTCTGCGCCTTGACTTTGCCCGACCCTGGTGCTTCCCGCTCATCAACCCTGAGATAGCTTGCGTGCATCAGTTCTTGGTCACATGTTTGCGGCTCTGCTGGGGGGGAGTCACAACGTCGACCATGACGCAGTGTCGTAATCAGCTCTACTATCACATCTCAGTCATCGTCTCGATGATCATATTTTGCGTCATGGGACTGTCAATGCCTGGTATGTAACGCAGACATGGTAGACCTGTGGCTTGAAACACTTGCCGGACCTTTGGTGGTGTAAGGAGATAATGGCAAAAACAGCTTTTGTTCACCTTATCTACGATTGCTATGCGGACGTATGTGCAAATAATTCTCATCATCGAAGCCAGTCATGTCTAGACCCTGTAATCCCAATATTTTAGATGAACTTCTGTAGAACGGCCGCTTCGGCGTTCAATATCGAGGAGCCAGCAGCTCCAATCACGGCTGAAACATAGGTTAGCATCCATTTCATTATGATCGGATCAATTGTAGAAATGAGACTTACTGTTATGGCTCAGAGCCACGAACTTGATGTCAAAGATTCCGCTCTCGTCCTCTCTCACCCGGCCCACGCTCACCGTGTATCCCCTCGACAGCTCCCTGTCCAGCCTAGGCTGCGGCCTGTCCGGCTCGTCGAACACTAGGATGCTGGGCTGCGGCGCCGACGGACAGCCCAGCTTTTCCACGTCGCTGACGTAGTTCCTCATCGCCTCCTTGACCTGCTCGGCGCTGGGGGGCGGCCGCTTGGCGAAGCGCAGCGACACGCAGGCCGTGTGGCCGTCGAGGACGGGCACGCGGTTGCAGGCGGCGCTGACGCGCATGCTCTTGAGCTCCTCGAAGGCGGTGGCCTCGGCGTTGATGCCGCCCAGGATCTTCTGCGCCTCCGTCTCGAGCTTGTCCTCCTCGCCGGATATGAAGGGGACGACGTTGTCGATGATGTCCATGCTGCTGACGCCAGAAAAGCCACCGCCGGACACGGCCTGCATAGTGACGACGGAGACGGTGTCGATGGCGCCGAAGACGCGCTGCATCGCGGCGAAGGGGATGACGAGCCCGATGACGGCGCAGTTGCTATTGCAGACGAGGAAACCCTTCTGCAGCTGGTGATGCTTGCGCTGGTGTGGGATCATGGCCAGGTGGTTGAGGTTGACGGTGGGCACGACCAAGGGCACGATCGGGTCGCGACGGTAGTTCTTTGCGTTGGAGAAGACGGCAATATCGGCCTTGAGGAAGTCCATTTCTGCATGACAGATTTGGTCAGCAATAAAGCCTGTCTGGCCGATGATGTGTGCATGTAAATTGGCGGATGGGGGCCACGATAGAGGTGAGGGAATGGGCGATATAGGATGGAGACAGTCCCAATGGCATCACGCACCTACTTCACCAGCTATGCTGGCATCCAGTCCACTGAAGACAATATCGCAATCTTTAAATTCCCCTGATACGCATGTCTTGACCACCAGATCTCCCACCGGCCCCATGGGCTTTGACTGCTTCCACTTGACGGCATCGCGGTACTTCTTGCCAGCCGATTGCGAAGAGGCACCGACAGCGACGAGCTTTAGGAAGGGATGATCTTGTAGTAGCAGGATAAAGCGTTGACCAACGGAGCCCGTCGCACCGAGGACGCCTGTTATCATGAAAGTCAATTATAGATGCTCTTGATATCGAAGCTGATGGTGGGGTGGCGGGGCACATGAGAAGGATGAGGAAGGGTTTTGACGAACCGCACTTGTACTCTCTTGTCGCCATGTTGGAGGTTCAGTAGGAAATCAATTGATAGAGTAGCTCGAGCCCAAGAAAAAAGGAACGAGAAGAGTCGGATTCTCGAGGCGCGAGGTGCAATTGATATGTCTGTGAGTCACTAGCAGCGCCGAGCTTGGAATTGTCGATATGGAAAAAAATTCCCCAATTAAGGTGGCATGTTTGCTGTGTGTAGCCCCCCACCATCCCCCGCCATCGGAGCTGCCGTCACTGTCAGGGATTTTCTATTCATTGGCGCCGTTCTTTGGCGTCCCGAGATCAGACCGCTTAGAGAGCCCGCCGTCGGGAATTGCCATCATCGTCGTCGTAGGGCTGATGAGAGTCGACGGTCTTCGGGGTTCCAAAAGCCGGCGACTGCTTTGACGATTCAGATGCCGGCACCAGTCACACATTTTATTATCTAGCTCTTCACATTGCATCTACGCATGGCGGTCTCTAGCATTTACTAGTAGCCAATGAATTCACACAGGAGTTTCTGATTAATTCACTGGACCCCGAACTTAAATCATGTCCTAGAGTCACCGAGACGTATTCCGTTCAACCATGTTGGACAGCCGTAAACTTTCTTCGGAGGTTCTCCAGCCCTGAGGCTAGTCCTGGGAGTGGTGTTGCTTAGGCCTAACTTTTCTTACTTATACAGTCTATCGAGGAGCTAACATGATGAGCTCTGAGACAGAGATTGTTTGCGTCGTTCTATAAATTTAATCAGGGGTCCAAGCTCGACTTGGATCTAGTGGCTACATGAAAGACACTGTCCATGGATATGACAACTTGGTGTCAGATTGTGAGCGAATTAGTCCCATCTTGAGTACTTCTCCGCCAGGGTAATAATGTTAGCCCAGTAAGTATATCATCAGCTCCTCAACAAGAGGTATCACATCTTTATAGAAACTTATATAGCTATACTTATAATAAGATATTCGAGGCTGTAATGAGCATCATGACATTCATCATTTAGTGCTGTGGCTCTTGAGGAGTTGATGTTTACCCTGGGGAAGGAGTATTTCAACCCACCCTTTCGTCTTGACTCTCGGAAAGGAAAATCCTTGAGGGAGCGTACAGGTGGTGATCAGTTTGTGAGCAGACCTTATAGGTGTTCAAGATAATGCTACCCAAAACGGCCCCACGAGCTTCTCGGTGCGGGAGACCACGCCATGTACTGTGAAAGACCTCTCGCGCAGCTGAGTTATATCGGCCTGAGGATACTTCTCCCTCGCCTCTTCTGCAAGGTTGATTGGCAAGCAGTCGTTCCCTGTATTTGCTAACCACGCCGGAATCTTCTTCCAAAGCTTGGCTACTTCGGTAAGTCCATAGTTTTGGGACGATGTCACCAGCTTTTCCCTCAGAAAACAGATATCCTTTGCACCATTCTCGCGTGGGATCTGCTCATCAGCAATTTCCCATAGATCAAAGAGCTGATCCAGACTCATGTACTGCAAGTTCTTCCATGCATTAAGCAAGGCGAGATGCTCTGGGGAACCCACCGTCGCGGTCATGCGCCGTCGTCCTGCGGGCATTGCATATGAAGATCTGTCCTGACCATCGAAATATATCAATACGGCAATGTTCGTTTCGACCTTGTCTCCGTGACGCAGGGCCTCCGCGAGGATAGCGGCCATGTTCTCCACTGGTCGGACCCAGCCAACGTAACTGGTAGGGTAGAACAGGTCGGAAATTCGAAGGGCGAGTAGTCTTGCTGCAACAACCCATATAGAAACAATATCGCTCACTTGGCGGTGCTTTATGAAGCTCTGGTCCTCACCAGCTTGGTACAGCTTGACCTCAATCTTAGTATTGAGACTGCCCCCTTTAGCAATGATTTTGTAAGCTGCGGTACTTTGACTCTCATAGAAAGCCGTGAGCAGTAAGCTCTTGCTAGGTGTATCGAGCTCCGCGACATGTTTACAAGCATCGACACGGCGAATTACATAGTCGGGGTGCTCTTCGTGACATGCCAGGTGAATAAGAGAGTATCGAGCAGTGAAGTCGCGTTGGCGGTAATGAGTCTCGTTCACACTGCTATGCCCTGCGGTTGGTAATGCAGAGAACTCACCCTGTCCATTGGAATCAAGGAGTTGTTGATAGCATTGTATGACAGGAATCACGCCTTCAAGAGTCTCGTCGCTGACTTGTACTCCTTTTCTAGATATGTGATCAGGGCGATGGCGATTCTGAGCTACTAACCAAGAAAACACCCGGATAATACTGTGAGAAATATGTAAAATGACGGAGTGTTGTTGAAATCCTGGCCTGTGTGCCAGTATAACATGGACGCCGTGCATTTCCACTCGGCCAACATGAGCTTGAAGTAGGTGTCTGGTGTGATGAGCTTTAAGTTGGCCGCATGTGTCTTCTCTGCAAACCAGACTTCAAGTAGAAAGTCTTTGACCGTGCGGTGAAAGGGCTCCACGCAGTACCTGTAGAAAAGATAATTTGCCCTCTTGATATTTGGAGTTCCATGCAAGAATATCTGAGAGCTTATTCTCATTTCAAGAAGTCCAGCAGTTAAGTCACTAAGTTCTCGTCTCACCAGGTCTAGACGAGCTTGTACCTCCTTATCGCTCATGCTTTGCGTCTTCATGGAGCTAGGAAACGTCGCATCATCAATTTCATCTATCCAGGAGTAGACAACTGCATTGAGCGGCTCACTATATGGATTTTGAAGGGCTAGAGCCAGCATCTTATCCCCTCGTTGCCGCTCTGCCTTATCAGCTCGCATTAGCATGCCATCATAAAGGTCATAAAGTCGTCGAGGAGTCTGCTCAAGAAGCCTGGCAAACTGGCCTTTCCTGTAGACACCAACCTTAGTGCCAAGGGATCGAGCGACCAAGATCGCCCAGAGGAAGACACCCTCCGAAAGGTGAACAATTCTCCAAGCCAGGTCCTTGAGCTCATTGCCTGAGATCTGTATGGGACCCGATCTCAATTTTTGTTCATTTTCCAAGAATTGGCGCGTGTGCTCGTAAATATCTCCCTTTGTGTAGTCCTGAATCTGAATTGATTTGCCAGATTGCCTGAAAGTGTCAAGGAACTCGGTGTGAGGTCTCGCACTGCAAAGTATTTTGACATTGGGTTGCTGAGACCACTGTTGCAAGTCTCTTGCGAGATACAGGTGGTCGATAGCGTCGCCTTCGTATTCATCGAGGCCGTCAATAAAGAAACACATACGATACTCAGGCAGGCATTGTGTCGTGACTATGGCTTGCATGGCGCTTTTCAGTTCAGAAAACCTGAAGGGTTGATTTGCCAATGATGATGAAAAAGTACCAGGTGGCCCGATAGGCCAACTTGTCAATCCAAACAGTCGTTCTGTTAGCTCTGGGCATTGACCTAAGATTTGAGAGAGGAGAGCTCGATAAAACCCTTCTAGATTTCGTTGTAGCCGAGAACCAGCACTCCAAAAGTACAGAGAGACAACCACCAGCTTGTGACCTTCAGCCCACTGTTGCAGAGCACCGGTCACGGCCGTGTTGTTTTGAGATCCAAGGAATTCTGTTAGAGATTTAGTCAGAGGATATACTCTGCATATTGAAACTGTTGTAGTGGTTGAGCAAGCCAAATGAACTCACTCATTAACGTTGATTTTCCAGAACCAGCTTTTCCAGTAATAAAGAATGTACCATTGTCCTCTCGTAAAAACTTCAGCAGCTCTTGAGACAGCAGCTTGCGCCGGATGGCCTCCCGGGGAATTTCTCTTTCGGACTGAGGTGACGAGAGTGACTTGGAAACAGAGCCCACAGACACGCCGGTATTAACAGGAGCGAATAGTTTGGGAAGGATGTTATCAACATCATCTTCAGCATTGTTGACCACCTTATGCTCAACCACTGTGGTCTCAGGTTTTGCTCCGGCCGCGGTCTGGGCAAAACTCTCATTTGGGGCTTTTCCTTTCCTTGGTAATGTTTCGGGCATCGTAATACTGGGGGGAAGGTCCATTTCTTTGATCTGTACCGGGCTCCCTGCATTGCTTTGACGCGCGACCCTAGAATTGTACTTGAGATCTTCGTTAGTCCCAGTCTCGCTTTCATTTAACTCCGCTTCGTTACTTCCTGTGTCGCTTCTTCTTGGTCCGTCAGAAACTTTATCCTGGCTAGTCGCATTATTGCTGCTGTTTGTCTTCATGGAGGAATTGTTCCATGTTTGTCTAACGATCCAATGAAAGGTGTGACCACTTGGGTGGACAATTGCGTCTTCGCGAGCGTATAGGTCGGCGAAATACAGTCGCTCAAGTACGCTGTTCTCGGAGACGACCAGCTTTGACATGGTTTTCAGACTCTTCAACTCGTCACGAATCTCTGCCAGCTTATTTGCTTGTTCTGTTTGAGATTGTTCTGTGTCAATGCTTTGAGTTTTTAACTCGGTCAGAACTTCGCCGAGTTTCTTCCTTGTTGCTTCGAGCTTCTTCGAAGTTGCATTCTTGAGTATCTCGCCGTCTTTGGTGATCTTGTCAAGGTGAGCCTTGAGCGGCGAGTTCTGCTCACTGTCTCAAGGTCAGCTCTTCAACTCTAACCTACTTGCAGCGCCCGGATTTGCTCACATCAGAAGCATTTGAAGCCGCAGCATGAGCTCGTCGCGATATTGACTTATTGTCTTTTCCATGTTCTCAATTTTGTCCTTCTTCGTCAGAGTCTTCCATGCTGCCTTGATAGTTTGCCACCGGACATTACCCCGCTGCACTTTGACTGACTTCAACGTCTTCTGTAAGTCTCGAGACAAGACGGCGCACTTGCTCGCGAGCTTAATCAGGTCCTTCTCTTGCTTTGAAGACCCTTTGAAGTCAACCTCTATGGCATCCGTAACATCCTCGAGGTCTTGCATCACCACGCCAATATGCGCATTCTCCTCGGTGACGCCATTTGCTGAGCCTGCCACCTCGTAGATGCCTTTGACCAGCTTCGACGAGAACTCGACGAATGTCAGAATGCTTGACGCGAGTCCAATCGCACTGACGGGATCCATCGCCACCTGCACAGCTACCTTGACATAACTATTGCGCCCCTTCTATCGTCACGAATTTCCTGTGTTGTGAACTCACTTGCTTCGCGGTGAAGCTTTTTGGTTTCCAGATTCTGCATCGTGGATTGGAGCCTAGGGGAGAAATTCACTGTCCAATCTTTTCCCGCAAGCATTCATTGGGCTGTGCCGCCGCATCAGGCACTCGGCTAGGTTCAGCGCACAGCCTCGCTTCAATCAAGTCGCTGTAGAAGACCATCACTTATTGCGTGCCCCCGAGTGTGCAGAACTATCTCCCTTACCTTTCCGCCAGTATGATAAATGTTCTCATGGTACTTATTAATATCTCGAAGACTCTCTTTATTTCTATGGCCTCACCAACTTCTTCAGTAGAGGCAGTAATCCTTCGTTGAAGAGGTGATGCTACCCTTGCTAAACTTACATGTATTGCATGGGCGGAGGAGTATGTACCTGACCCACTGGCGTTACCTACCCTTACAGCGGCTTGAGCGGGTAGGTCCGAGCCAACCCGGTGGCCATGGGCCGCCATTTTCGGCGTGCCAACCACCGACTCGGGACATTTTTGTGGGCTCTTCTCAACAGTTTCATGGTCCGGAGGCAATCAACGGCACGATGCAGCAAGGCTGAAGATATTTGCACCATATTCTCCTTGAAAAAGAAGATTGAAAAGACCTCAGTTCTCTTATCACAAGAATTTGCTCTTTTACAGGTTCCATCCGCTGCTCCGTATAAGGTACCTCAACCATGGCCCCTACAGGGACTGAAGACATCTTCCGTCTGGTTGAGACGATAAGACAGTCCGGCCCGGTTGATGCAACAGCACCGTACGAGGCAGATGGTGTCGCCGGCAAGACAATTGTAATCACGGGAGGCGCCTCGGGATTCGGAGCAGCGTTCGCAAGGCATTGGGCAAAACACGGCGCCTATCTCATATTGGGGGACATCAACGACAAAGGGGGTGAGGAGCTGGTCGCGGAACTCCGCTCAAGCACGGGGTCAGAGAATCACCACTACCATCACTGCGATGTAACAGATTGGAAAAGTCAAGTGGCGTTCTTTCAGGCGGCCGTGAGGCTCAGCGGAACCGGTGGCATCGATGCCGTGGTTGCCAACGCCGGCATCAGGGAGGTGCAGAACGCGGCATCTGGCATGGGCTTCGAGAATCCGACTGAGGACCTTGCCACGGACGCGAGCCCTCCGCCGCCAAACCTGAAGGTCATGGACGTCAACCTCACAGGCGTCCTCTACACAGTGCACCTAGCCCTGTTCTGGCTGCAGAAGAACGGCGCTGGAAAACAGCACGGCGGGCTGGCGACGGAGCCGCCAACGCGCGCCGAGCGGCCCCGGGACCGCCATCTGCTGCTCATCAGCTCCGTGGCTGGCATCGCGGCCTTGCCGGGCCAACCTCTCTACGCGGCGACAAAGCACGCCCTCGTGGGCCTCTTCCGCTCGCTGCGCGGCACCGTCTGGCGGCAGGGCGTGCGCATCAACATGGTCTGTCCGTTCTACGTGGGAACAGACTTCATACCGAACCGGGGCCTGATGATGCTCGCGGGCGGGGGCTCAACGAAGGTGGAGGATGTGGTGGACGCGAGCACGCGGCTGATGGCCGACGAGGGCATCGTGGGCAGATCGCTTGTGGTAGGGCCGAAGCTGGACCTGGTGGATGGCGAGGACGGACAGCCGGAAGTCGTCCCATCCGGGGCCGAGAAGAGGCAGCAGGCCGTTTGGGAAGCCTACGCCCACGACTACGACAGCGTCGACATATTTGTCTACCGGTACACGAAGCTGGTGAACGCAGTCCACAGGATAAGGGGCTGGGTGGGCCTTGTCAAGGACGTCTTGAATATCTACCTCTACCGGAAGGATCCTACGCCCCAAGCGGCTTCATGACTGAGACACACACAATGCAAGACTCGAATTTGAGGCTACGGCAATCATTTGATATGCGATAATTGGCGTGGACGGAGCAAGGAAAAGTGATTTTATGTGGACTTTGGGAGCTTTTGGATGGCCTACTTTGCAACTGGACTCTGCTGATTTCGGATATTCGATGTGAGGTAGAAAGATAATTAGTCTCTCCTTAGTTTTTTTTGGAAGGAGTCGCAAGTGGAATTACGGTGCTTATGTCTCGCGTACGTTGAATTGCAAGAGAGCCTATGACGGCTCATCTGCAAGACTTATAATGGCCCCCACAGGATTCATTTGACGTCAACAGTTATACAGGATTCATGTACGACAACGGCTGAGAGCAATAGCACGATGCACGACGATCCAGCGCAATTAGATTTCCCAAACATCCAGCCGCGTTTGAGTCGTCACGAGTGTATAAATATAGTGTCTGGCCCGCTCGGCTGTGACGATAGCCAGGATCGACCTTCATAAGCTTAAGTGGCCGATGCGATGCGATGCTTCTGTGCAGACGTGAACCAGGGAACCCGACGCGCTGCACAAAAGCTGCGGCAAGGGGCTTTGAGCCTGATACAGGATCACCACGATCCCCGTCAGATCATCCCAAGTCAGCTGCTTCCCTCGGCTGGGGGGCCGAATGTGGAAGAGCCAGGCAACGTTGGCCAGACGCGATGGGATGCAGGGGGGAGAAACAGACGGTGAGAGGCGTTCCGTGATCTCTTCTCAGGGTTCTGAAACGACAAACTTGGAGGTGTGGTAATTATGGGATGGTGATAAGTAAGAGTATGGGCAACAGCTTCCTAGGTGTTGTGAGACTGCTGAAGATAAGCATGGTTTCCGAAACGACATGCTGCGAGAGGAAGAAAAGGAGGCTTTATAATGGTAGGGACTGGAGCATGGCCTTGGGATGCCATGGGACAGCGACATGATGGTGCTTCATGTCTCTGACTTGACACATCTTGGGGTCAGTTAGAGTTGGGAGTTTGGGGGTGGGGCATTGTTGGATTTCCCAGGGACCCTTGAAGACCAGGCCAGCGTAGAATTCTTTGTGTTCGGGTGGCTTTCCAGCAGCCCGGGAGGCAGAGACACTTCACCGTCCAACGGCTGAGACAGCCCAGGGTCTTGTCCATGATCCCTGGTATTTTCTGGACTACAAGACTGAGAGGCGGTATAACGTTAGAGATATCAGCCGTTAATTGAGAAGAGAGCAACTTCAGCTTGAGTTCATTAGTCCAATTGGCTGGCCCTAGTCTAGTTGCTGTTAATCTTGGAATTCTAACTGACCATTGCGTACGGTACACGGTAGGCACTCAGCGACTTTAGCATGTTTATTTCTTTAGTAACAACAGGTGGAGTCTAAGATGGGCTCCATCCTCCTGCGCATTCTCACTCCATTTTTGGGAAAACCCACCCACTACCATGGGTTAATCTGTCAAGTCTTTAGCACTGCAACGGTCGTTGTGGCAGTAAGTCACTCATCAGCGCCAGTGCAAATGCTAGTGCAAGTGCAAATTCCGAGCGGCGCGACGCAATCCATCCATAGTGATACTAGTAATAACGTTACCTAGTAATAGAGAGGGAGAGAGGGAACCTCGTCATCCGCGCCCGAGGATCAACAGCTGAGCCACAATTGCAATTGGGCCCGTCGTCAGCCCTGCCACCACCACCACCACCACCATCATCATCTTCTCCCTCTTCACCTTCGACTTCTTTTTGCGCGCGTGTCCGTTTGCTCAGGTGCATGCGAAAACTTCAGACGGATCGCGAACAACACTGCGCACGCACATACATCGCACATCGCACATCGCGCATCTTGACGGGCGTCTCGGAGTCCTTCCATTTTCTAGACGTGGGTGATCAGACGAAAGACCGGGCATCCTTGGGCCTGCGCGCCGCGCGACACACTTCTACTCTCCGCATAGCATAGCACAGCGCATAATCTTTGCACGTTTCAACCCCTGCCTTGCTCGCTGTCCAGCCCAAGCTTTGCCGGCTTTCGGTGAGGAACACAGACAATTAGACAGACAGACAGCCAGGGCGTCCCGTCCATCCGTCATCCATTGCCCGTGCGACGCGAATTGACGATTCACCGGACGCTGGCGGGCCACCACGAACCGAACGAGCCACGATAGTTAAGCCCACCACCTCCCAGACCCCATCATCATCACCACTACCACCATGACGATGGCCGATTACAACGCATCCTCCGACTACCTGCCTCCAACACACCAGCAGCGCGAGCGCACCGGCAGCATGTCTCTCGGCGGACCACCGCCTACCAGCGAGAATGGAGCTCCTACAAACGGGACCGGCCCCATCGGCAGCCCAACGGCTGGCCCTCCGAACACGCAGCCATCCGATGTCTCTAAGCAAGTGCAGGAGGTGCTATCTTCAGAGGTACAGAGTTTGAGATATACAAAGAATTAGAGATGGGCGCAATGGAAGCTGACGGGTTGTTAGATCGGTGTTGCTACGATGCTCAACAGACTCAAGCAAAGCATAGCTTCGGCCAAGGTACGCACGATAATGCTCGACTCCCCTCTCAAAGGGGCAACCCGCGAGCCACAGTCTCGCTTCGACTTCGACTAACAGCAACAATAGGAGTTTGCATTGTTCTTGAAGAAGAGATCGGTTCTGGAGGACGAGCACGCCAATGGCCTCAAGAAGCTGTCAAAGATGACCACGGACAGCATGCGCCGGCCCGACCACCTGGGCGGCTCCTTTGGTGTAGCTTATGACGACATGATGGCCATCCACGAGAGAATGGCCGAGAATGGCATGCAGTTCGCCATGTCACTACACCAGATGCACGAAGACTTGCTCGAGCTCGCAGCCATCGCAGAGAAGAACAGGAAGGGCTGGAAACAGAACGGCCTGGCAGCCGAGCAGCGCGTAGCAGACTTTGAGAATGCCATGAGGAAGTCACAGTCGAAATACTACTCTCTGGCGGAGGAGTACGATCGAGCCAGGACTGGGGACACCAGCGGACAGAAGGGGAAGGTGTTCGGATTCAAGGGCCCTAAGTCGGCTGCGCAACACGAGGAGGATCTGCTACGCAAAGTCCAGGCTGCCGATCAGGATTACCAGAACAAGGTCCAGACATTGCAGGCAGAACGTGGAGAGCTTGTGGCGAGGACACGACCCGAGGCTATCAAGGCACTGCAAGATATCATCAAGGAGTGCGATTCAGGATTGGTGCTGCAGGTGCAGAAGTTTGGTGAGTTGCATTCCGTTGAGGCTCTGCCTGGTCCCCCCGTAACTGTGGACTGTGGCTGACACGCGTGAACTGTGTAGCGTCATTCAACGAGAAGCTGCTTTTGAGTAATGGCCTGAGCATTTCTCCGCTCAAGGCGCAGAAAGGACAGCAGCAGGGCCAGTCCGATGCACGCAGCCTGCGGGAGATCGTGCTAGCTATCAATAGCGAGAGCGACCTGAACGATTTCCTCAGCGCTAACCACAGCAAGGTGCCGCCACGCTCGGGTGAGCCCCGATACGAGCGTCATCCTGTATGTCTTTCTCCCGGTTTTCTCGCTTTCCTTCAGAATTTTCGGCATCGCTGCATCTTGGCTTGAAGACTAACGTGCAGTACCTTAGGTCTTGAACGCCCCCGGGCCAAGCATGTCAGGGGCACAAATGCATCAGATGCAGCCACAAGGCCAGCCAATGCAGACCGTGGGCCAACCGATGGGCCAGCCGATGGGCCAGCCCGTGGGGCAGCCCCAGATGCGTCCACAATCGTCCCTGCCCACGTCGCCTGTTGGCCACCAGCAATTCGGCCAGCAGCAGCCACCGCCGAGTGGCGGTCAAGGATTCCCTGGCTCCGGGGCTCCTCCAGGCCCCGTCCCAGTAATGCCCGCCGCCCAACGGCCGTCTTCCAGGGGCAGCTTCCAGCATGAACGCAGCTTCAGTCACAGCAGCGCCTTCTACGACCAGCAGCAGCAGCAGCAGGGCTTGCCCGCACCTCAGGCACAACAGCAGCCCGCCCAACAACAGCAACAATTCGCTCCTCGGAATTCGGGTCAGATCGCCGTACCAAATTCCAAGTTCAACAACGGCAACATGGGCGGTTCAATGAGCTCGCAGCAGCAACAGCCGCAGCAGCAACAAGGACCGCCTCAATTGGGGGCGCTGTCGTTCCAAAATGCGCCGCCCCAGCAGCAACCCGCGCACCAGAAGCAGCACTCTCTGGGAGGGGGTCCACTTGCGCAAAATCCGCCGAGCCAGCAGGGGTCGTTTGGCATGGCTCAATCTCGAGGTCAATCGCCTCCGCAGATTGTACCATCACGGCCCGTCTTTGGTGTTTCGCTCCAGAAGCTGTATGAGAGAGATGGACTGGCGGTGCCGATGGTTGTTTATCAGTGCATCCAGGCGGTTGACTTGTTCGGTCTGACCGTGGAGGGAATCTACAGGCTGTCAGGATCTGTGCCTCATGTGAATAGGTTGAAGGCCATGTTCGACACAGGTGAGAGCCGCTGTTCGGAGCAAGAGTATTGAATTGGTGTGCTGATTTTCGTGAACAGATTCCAGCTCGCCCAATCTGGACTTCCGAAACCCTGAAAATTTCTTCCACGACGTAAACAGCGTAGCCGGGCTTCTGAAGCAATTCTTCAGAGACTTACCCGACCCTCTGCTGACAAAAGAGCACTACTCCGGCTTCATTGAAGCAGCTAGTAAGTCTCCTTGGCGTTTTTATCCCGTGTCTTAGGCTCTCTTCTCTAACATGCGATAGGAAATGACGACGATATTGTGCGGCGAGACTCGCTTCATGCCATTATCAATGCCCTACCTGATCCCAACTATGCCACCCTGCGTGCTCTCACATTGCACCTCCACCGCGTGATGGAGAACTCAGCGTCTAGCAGGATGAACAGCCAGAACCTGGCTATCGTGTTTGGCCCGACGCTGCTGGGCACCAGCGCCCAAGCTAACATCGCGGACGCCGGCTGGCAGGTGCGTGTCGTGGACACAATCCTACAGAACACGTACCAGATCTTCGACGACGACTGAGCTGATCGACATGTTTGCTCGAATTGCCTGAGGTCAAGAGCCTGGTAATGTAGGCGCATCGCATGGGACAGCGTGATGAGTCGAGTTCTGAGAGGGAGGAACTGGGGAAAAATTGGACATCTGATAGGCGAACGAATCCCGGGACGTTGCATGAAAGCATGGCTGGAGAAATTTTGACTTTTTTCTCTCTGTTCGTTTCTCTTTTGGCTGGAGTTTAGGGGATGGCAATATCTTTCTTGCCGATGCTGGTTCTTCAAGTTTGTAATAATACCAAGAACTACTAATTCTACACCATATCCAACCACACGTCCTCCATAACCGATACGTAGGGGATACTCTGAAAGGATTAAGATACAGAGGAACCAGGATTCTTGAAGATCATTCTTGACCATCCAGCCAATCCTCCATGTTAGTCACGTCAGGGTATCCAAAAATTTGTCAGAGAGAAGCCAAGTGACGGGAGACCCTGACACCTTGCTCTTTTGCTGCGGCTTGGCTGGAGGCTGTGGGTACCCTGGAGCCGCCTTCTCAGGACGAGGACCTTCGGAGGTCACTGAGGAAGGTGAGTTGAAAGCAGAATATCCGTAAGGTATTTCATCCAGCGGCCTGTCGGAAGAGATCGCCTTTTTTCTTTCCGGGCATACTTTGACATCCTTAATGGGTGAACTATCCAAGGTCTTCTCGCAGACAGTTTTGGTCAGTCGCTTTTTTCTGGTGCGGACCTTGATCTCGTCTTCATCTCGTCCTCTTCCACTGTAGGAACTGGATAGCGCCGACTCAACAGTGAACGTGGTATCACGTTCCCGCGGCCTGATCTGACAAGTCTCACGTTGTCATATATTTCGTTTGTTCGAAACCTCCTGTGGATAGTTTGATCACTGGCCCTGAAATTGGGTTGGCTAGCTGCTTTTCTATAGGCATCTCTCGCATTGTCGGAAGAGCCGATGCTGCGGGCTGCAAGAATGGTACGTTCTCTGACGACGGGCTCGTCTCGCTCACGAACTGGTTCGCAATCTGGGGTTCTCTGTACGAGAACGTCCTCCTCTCTTCTGCTTTGGAAAGCGATCTCTTTCATAAACCCTCCTAGGTGCAACAGGTTCATATTCATCTTCAGGATAGTGCCGATGTGATCTTCTCGTTGGAATTGGTTCTCTGACTCTCACAGTGGCAGGTTTGTCACGTCTGTCATCGTGCTCTGGCAGCCTGTCTGATCTCAGGTGTTGTTCTTCAACCGTAGTAGTTGGAACCGGACGGACTTTCATAACACCAGGCCCCTTTACTGAGTCCTCGACATATTCATCACCAAGCGCCGCACTGCTTGGCCTCACAGATTCGACTGTATCTTCTCGCCATCGTTTGTTTCTCCTGTCAACAAGCCGGTTAAAAGCACCGTTGAGGATTTCTCTCTCTATATTTGCCATCATGCCTTCTGTGAAGGATGGCATAGATTGAGTGTGCATGCCTGTTACGGGGTCGGCTTCCTCAATAATCATCCTTCCACGTTTGTCCTTAGCTACTGTCCGTTCTGCTGCCTTAGGCTGTGGCTCATTCGCTTTTTGCCAGGTGTTGTGACCAGAGGAGCGTCTCTTCTCGCGCCTCTTGTTGCGACACCTGGTGGACGACAAGTCTACTGATTCCCAAACGCCCCTATCCCTATTCCTTTCCGTAACACTCTCCCTGTCATGATTGTTGACATAAGTCCTGTGGTTGGTTTTATCTTCCGACCCTGACGACATTCTAAGGTCGAGCAGCTGTCGATCACGGTTAAGGTTCTCTCTCGTTGCGCTTCGATATCGCCTTTCAAAGATTGGACACGACGTGATCAGTTCATCTTCTGAAGAGTCGACTTTCCCTGCTGAGTCTTGACCGTCACTTGACTCATTCTCACTGACAGCTCCATGCGGCAAATGTATGCCTGGCTGGTAAGCGTGCCGCTCTGGAGTAACCACAAGCTCTCCGTCCTCCTCCTCATCGTCCTCCTCCTCGTCGAGCTTAACAAAGTTCGCGAGGCGTGTCAAATGTGTTTCCCAGGGACTGGAAGCGGTATTGCTAATCCTTGTTGTGCGAATCTCACTGGGCTCCAGGGTGGTCCAATGTAGGAGGAGCCTGTCGACTACAATCCGTTTTGGAGCACGTCTACTTGTCACAAGAAAATCTGCGGCCCCAAAGGCGCCCACGGATTGTCGCTCTAGCCGTTGGTCGCTCATGAAGACGAGCTGGTAGAGCCAGCGAGCGGTATCATTCAGCGAATCATCCCATAACTCGATCTGGTTGTTACTTGTCATGTTAAAGACATTCGAATTGTCACTGGGTGGTCGACCGGCCCCCGGAAAGACAGTTTGGCTACCTTCTGTTTGAGTGCCTACATCTTCTGAAGTCTTCTGTAGTAACAGCCGGTGTAGATCGCGCTCCGCGGCCCGGACTAGAGTTTCGGCCTCCTTTCGCAGGCTTCGTCGTTCGTCTTTTGTGTCTTCGTCCTCGGCTTTATTTCTATAAATTATTTTGTAAGTCCTGTCACGACGATAGGTAAGACCACACAGTGAATACTCACAGTGTATGTTTTCTCTCCTCGACAGCGAGCAACATTGTCGTCGAGAACAGCGAAACTGTGGATTTATGGCTTTCGATTTTGGCGAGCAAGTTTGTTGCCTTGCCTTTCCGGAACACCCACTTGATCCTTGCAAGGCGTCCGCCGGTAGCAGCAAGCAACCCATCTATCTCTTCATGTATATCTTTGATTCTATGGATGGCAGACCGCAGCGATCTGAACAATCCTCTTTTAAAAAGCTCCGTTCCTCGTTTGAGAATACGACGCAGTTCTCTGAGGACTGACGACAACTCACGGACTCCTCGAGCGATGTCAATCATTTCACGAGGAGCATCACGAATGTTGTGAATAATATCATACAAGATCAAAGCAAGCGCTGCGCCCGCGGTCGCCACGCCGGCAATTCCACTAATAATAGACAGCGGATCCGCCATCTGCCGCTCTAGTAGGTAAAGATGAAGCCCTCGAAAGATTGGAGGTTGGAGGAGACTTCGGCAGAGTTCTATCCAAAGGCAGGAGTCACCCTCAACTACTGGGTGTCCAGCCTTACTTCAAAGGCACGAATTCCATGAACCAATACGATTTGCAGATCCATTGGGTGGCTGACAATGTAAATCTGCCTGCATGAGCCCTCTGCTCAACTTTCCACACAAACCCTGTATGCGCACTTTACCGCTCTGTTGTTGGAATGCTTCCAACAGAGGCGATCGTCACTGTTTAGATAGTGAGGTACCAGCGTCCACCTCCGACGCAAATCAAATGACTGACGATAAACAAGAGAGAAAAAAAGGGTTGAGAGCGTCAAGATAAAGAGAATATCTTACAAAAAGTAAAAAGTTCGACGCAGGCCTGATTCGAACAGACGCTCCCAAGGGAATGAGATTTCAAGTCTCACGCGTTAGACCACTCCGCCACTGCGCCTTTAAGCAGAATTTAGGTTGGAATTGTCCCCAATACCCGGCAACGAATGCTGGGGAATTGCATGAAATCTAGGTGAGCATTTGCGCAGTCTTTGCTCCCAACTCTAAACTGGGCACGAAATATAATTGATTAATATTGAATGAATATGCAGAAGGTGAAAAAAACGCGATGAAATTGTGATTACGGTAGAACAACAAACGGCAGCGCTGCCCAGAGATAAATTTTCTATCACGCAACTATTTCCATATCAGATCGTTTCATAGAAGTGAATAACAGTCGGTGCGTGAGTCGCATTCCCATATACATCGCCACCGTACGTCAAGTAACCTGTCACATTTGGATATCCAACTTTCAATATGTCTGCTGAGTCTCCGTGCAGCCAGACAGTTTGCATGCCCTGAATCATGTGCTGTAACGTGTGGCAGTGTACCATCCACACGCCAGGATCCGTCACACGCAATCTCCACGCTCTCCAGCTAGCAACTTGATTCTCCTTTACCGAGTCTGTGTATTTGTACAGAACAGTTGTGTCTCTTCGCACAGGGTGAGTGCCTTGCAGTTTCGATTCGGCCACCGCAGGATCGTACGCACCCTGGCCACTTCCAATATCGTAGATGTGTGTGCCGTGGGCATGCCAGGGGTGCGTGTCGAGTGAGCCAGGAGGAACCAACTCATTATCGGAGCTTGCTCCAATATTCTGAAAGACTATCTCAATGACCTCGCCGATTCGAACTGGGTATGTTTTAGTCCGTGGATCAAGTCCTCCATTTGCAACAGCAGCTTCAAAGTCGGGCAGGTATTCTTCCGTGTTCTCATAAAGGGCTACCAGGTATGGCTTGTGAGGTGTCGTCGTATGATTGACGACATCACCTCTGTCCATCCAGCTGTTGTTATTCACAACCCATCTGAAGTAGCCTGTGATTTCTTGCTTCTGATTGAGGAAGACTCGACGAGTTACTTCGTTGGAACGGGGAAAATCGTTGTCTTCTAGCGGCTCAAGCTGATAATCGAGGTATTCTGGATCGGTGGGCGGCAAAATTAGTGGTGCCGTCGGCGGGTTTGTGTCTGTAGCAACGCGATTGGGACGTGCAATATTGCAGTTGTTGCTATATCGGAGGACAGCGTAGTTGGTCACAACTGGATCTCGTTCTCTGGTCTCAAGTTGTACGTAGAAATCTAGCTTCCCCAATCGCCGCAGCTCATCACAAGACTTAGTTTCAAGGAGTGCATCATAGCGTTGACCACTGCCTATTTGAAATAATTCTACATCAAGGCGCTTGGTGTAAGAGCCATCTGCCTGGACAATTTTGAAGTTGGTGTGGTTTTCGAAGGCAAAAATTGCAACAGACAAAGATGTTGCGGCCACGAAACGGAATCTATAGGTCTTGTGCGGCTCGACATCGATAACAGCCAAGCCTCTAGTTGATAGGTTTACCGCGTTATAGTTAGATATAGATTTTCCGTTGATCAACCAGCCGTTTGGTTGCCCAGGCCAGTTGAGTGGGTTGGCCAAGACCCCTGAAATGATTTCGCCATCTGTTTGATTCCAATATTCCTGGAGAAAGACGAGTCGTTCTTCATCGTATTGATATGGTGGTTGCTCTGGGTCTTTGACTATCATCGCGCCAGTTGCAGAACTCGTCGAGAAGCCAACATGCGAGTGATAATAATATGTACCAGCGCTGCCATTGGAGCAGAACAATTCATAGTCAAAAAAATGCTTCGGTGGTATGGGCCACTGGCTAGCTAGGGGTGTTCCGTCAGAAAATGGGTATGCTGCTACGGCCAAGCCATGCCAGTGCTGTTTCTATCAATGAGTGACCTCCTAGATTTTTGTGAGAGAAAGGCTAACCATGGTGAGATTAGAATCGGTCATGTCATTGTAGACTCGGATCCAAAAGACTTGGTTCTCCGAAAGCTGTATAGGAGGACCAGGAAGTGAATCATTGACTAGTGTTGTATATCTGTACATTCCTCCGATGCTGATATTCTTCCTGGTAACAACAAGCACTTCACTAGGGTGGAATGATTCATCATGGACGTGATGTTTGACAGCAACGCCCAAGAAACCATGGAAAAGCACGGCGAATAGTAGAAAATGAAATGATGACATGATGATTAGAGTCAACAGGCAAATGCTTACGATAAGCTTAAATGCTTGATTGTAAAAAAAATAGTTTCCAGAAAGCTTCTTCTCACTTAAATCCTTTTTTATAATCACGTTCAATTAGTGAAGTGTTGGTTGTTGGTCTCTCGAGTCTTACAAGAGCTCGGTCTCCGAGCAGAACTAGGGTGGGTCGCACAATCAATTCCACTTGAAGTATAGGTCAGCAGCGAGCTTATTAAAGGCTTTCTGTCGTCGGACCTCTGTTCGCATTTCGGAGATATAGCAAGAAATGTATTCTTTTTTATACAATTACGACTACGTGTCAGAATTCTTTGCTCGGGTTGCCTCGTATCTCCCTCGATATTACTGAGCCTAATCGAGACTGCTTTCATTTCACCTTTCCTTTCAAAGTCTAATTAAAGGCTATGACAACTGCTTGATTATATAAGCGATATCTTGTCTCACTGATAGCATAGTCACCAGGGACTCGAAATAAGAAAATTCAGCCAAGACCTTCAATAGTCTATATCTCGCTTCTTAGATCTATTCGTAACCGGCTCTCCCCGTAACCACTCTCTGTAAACATCCACTATCAGGATCATCCTATTCCATGGTATCGAATTGACAATTTTGATTTCACAGCACGAATCAAACATTAAAATTAGTTTTCATTCTGATTCAGAGGACCTTGCCGCAAGAGACAATGAATTAAAGAACAGCATATTTAGCTTTGGACAGCTTGGAGCTAATTTATTATTGCTATTGGTTCGAACAAACAATTCACAGGCACGAAATGTAGATCAAATGCATTCTATTTAATCACCTAAATAGAAAGTTTAAAAGGGATGAGGCATAAAACAGTTCAGTCAGCATGGGCTCTATGTTAGGATCAATTTTAGCAGTGCACTATTGATAATATTCAAGGTATGAGCTTGTTCTTTGCTGAACTACCATGGCTTCTGAGCCACCTGCCTACTGGAGTCACCCTAACGCCAAGAGATCTTCGCAAGCTACCTAAGTAAATCTGGCACTATGGCCTTTGTGAAGCACTCTGAATGGTTATGTGCATAACCAATCCCCGAAAGGCCCAAGCTCTTTGGTTGTTTACGTAGGTGTTTCCTATTTAGGAGTACCTGCCTTGGAATTCATATTCCGAAGCGCCATGAGCCTATCTCGCTCTCTTACATTACAATCAGCAGTCTCTTCCCTCTATAACATACATAGGTAGCCTCCTACATCTTCAGAGCAATCTCATCAGATTCGAATGATCGTCCTAGATACTCAGACGGAGATCGGAGCAGGGCATTCTGTTTGAAGCTGGTCAACATTCTAGCCACTCTCATCTTGCGAGAACACCCGCGTTTCCCTGCTTGAGGCCGTCGGAATCCGGAGTAGGTACTTTTTTTTTGTCCCCCCCATTTGTCGACTCATTCGTTTACCTTTCCCGATTTAGCGACCACAAATCGAATCAAACATCGTCTGTCTGGCAGCTACGACCATCTTGCAGTGAGTGACTTCTATTTTCTACCTATTGGGTTAGCTTATTCAATCTCGAGAACATATATTTTGCACTTACAGGACAATTACTAAAGTTCCTTAGGTATCTGATCGCCATGGCGGGTCGAGGCGTGTCTCCCATTCAACCCATCTACGAGTTCGATGACAACCGAGAATTCGATACCCGCCACCGGGTAGGCACCGAAAAAGAGTTCAGCAATGAGTCCAGTAATATTGAGGTGTTCAACAGCGAAAGATTCCAATTTCGGGCATGGGTAATTGCTAGCCTTGGCCGAAGCATCAAGAAATCCCACTGGTTGTTCCTCGTCGCTCCCGGCGACAAAACCGAGTGGCGATTGCCTCATCAAGGCGAGACTTGTCAGATCAAGCTCCTCAGCAAGACAGGCAGAACGGAGAAGTCAGATTGGTGCGTTGCTGAGCGCATAGAAAATCCTGGCGCAAGTCTCGGCCTTTCTGAGGAAGAATATCAGAGCTATTACGCCTTCAAGGTTTTTGCTCCTCACAATGCTCATATTCGACCAATGCTAGACGAAGAGGAGGGTGAGGACGCTGGACCTGCTCAAAAACCATTGAAGCTTTGGCCCAGTAAGGCCGTCCTGATCAATCTCTTACTCCATCTTTCAACAGCGACAATAAACGCAGAGCTTGGAGCCTTGAATACACTCGTCCACGACCACAAGAGAACCCGCACATTCAAGCAACAGGCGGCCTTCCAATACCTGATGAACTTCAAGAATCCAGCGTTCACTATCGACTTATTCTACCATTTCCCCCATCTGAAGGATTATATCAGCAACCCCCACGATCTGCCCCAGAAGTTGATTTCCTTTCTCCAGGGATTTGATGAGCACCAACGGATTGCATATCAACATCTTCTTGCTAAACTTCCTTGTGGCATCTGCATCATTCCCGGCGGCCCTGGTGCGGGCAAGACTCATTGGAATTTGATTCTTACTTGTGCCATCCAGTACGAAGATTTAGTGGTGCATGGACCTGAGAGCACAAACAAGCACGGCGCAAAAGTGCTGTATCTTCTCGATATCGACAAGCCTTTGTTGGATGACATAGCGAACAAGATGATGCGGCTGTACAAGGAACTTGGGTTAAAGAAGAAGGCGATCCGTTTACACTCCTGGCAGTATGGGAACCAGGGCCTGAACCCTCGTTTCCTGGACAACTTCATGATCATGGCACGCGTGAAGAGTTTTAAGCGCACTGGTCCTGCCACCGAGACCAACTGTATCGCTCCGACTCTTGAAGAAGCTGTTTGGGAATACTATGAACAGAATAAGGCCGGTAGATATTGCGATTTGGCGTATTATCTGGCCACGGCGCTGCGGTACGGAAAGCATACAGTGTATGAAAACTTCAAAACTCTGGTGAACGACCTCTACGTGGATACCTTGAATACGATTGACTTCATAGCCACGACTACTGTATCTGCCGCGACTCGCTTGGGCGGCTTCTTCAAGCCTGATATTGTAATCTTTGATGAGTCTCCGCAAGCAAGAGAGCTATCTACTTTGGTCGCCATCGCGAACTACGAGCCTTTAGCATGGATCCTCAGCGGTGATCACCGGCAAACAGGGCCGTTCGTTATCTCGGATGATCCTAGTGCTAATCCATTTGCGTCACAATTGCTGGTTTCTACCATGGAGCGAGCTCATCGTGCTGGGGCTACCAAATATTCTCTCTTAATCAACCACCGCGCCTTTGCTGGGCTCGAACGACTTGCCTCCAGCCTATTCTACAATAATGCGATGGTGTCTGGTCATAAAGAAGACGAATTGTTTCCCCCGACTGCCCGATATCTTCAGGTGTATCTCGAGCGCTTTATCAGTGGTCATAAGTGCCAGGAGCCACGAATAATCGTCTGGATGGACAATAGTGGAGAGATGCAGGAGGGCACTGGTTGGTACAACCAGGGACACATGACGTGGGTGATGCAGCGAGCGCTCGAGCTGCTGAAAGATTCCATGTTCCAGAGAATCGATAAACCCGAGCGTGGCACCATCTTGATAATCGTGCCGTATGTAGAAGCACTTCACCGTTACCAACAAGCCATCAAGCAGCTACAACTTGGCTTGCAGCAACAACTTAACGTCGACTCGCGGTTGGAGGTTCGGACAATCGATACGGCTCGGGGAAGTGAGGCGGATGTTGTCTTCCTTGACTTCGTTCGCCATCAAGGCACGGAGTCCGAGAATCATCCTCATCGTCTTTGCGTCGCGTTGACTCGAGCGAGACAGGCTGAGATTATCATGATGAATCCTGGAATGTGTACAAAGGGTCGCTCTTCCGTGCCCGCCGTGAATCTTACAAGAATCTGGAATCACAGTGCCAGGCTGGGTCAGATTGCGAGACTCCGCAGGAGAGGCTCCCCACTGATGGATAAGGAATGGAAGCCGCCGATCTTTCCACTTCCCCCTGGAACGCCGGGTATTGCCATTGACATTGACAGCGAGATCGTGGATGGCATGTCTAAAGAAGAGTTCCGCTTAACGAAACCAACGAGTCCTGCAAAGATGTCTCAAGTTCCACAAACACCAGTGGTCGAAGTATCCACACCAACCATAGCTACAGGCGCAATTCGAGAGTCCGATACAGCGGTGAAGCCTCTGCAGGAGGAAGGCCTGAACAAACCTGTCAAGGAGGCAGTATGGGAGGAAGCACTCATCGAGAGAGGATCAACCGAGAGACCGGTCGAGAGAGCACCAGTCGAAGAGGCGTTCATAGAGCAGACACCGAATACTTGTTCTTGGGCCGAGGACGAAGTATGCCGCTTGTTAGATGATCTCACGCGTATCGTTCCGGAGAGATCCCTCCAGGAAGAAGACACCAGTAATCTGCTCGGACACCTGACACGGACGGTTCAGGAGCCACACCTACTTCATGGGGATGCTCTCCGACTGGACAACACAGAACGCCCCATGGCGCCTGTCAATCTCCAAATTCCAGAGGAGCCCGTCACGAAAAATACAAAACGAATCATCGCTGAGAAAGACGCTCTGCCGTCTGGTAGCGATTGGTGGTAGGGCGTGGGTATGCATGGAGTTTTAGGAAAGATCATCCTGATCAATAGCTCAGATGACTATGTAGACTCGTCATATCGGGCTGTGTTGGTACTTGATACTCATGAGACACTGAGGGATATGTAGCTATATTCGAGGTAGTGTGTACCTCTGCGGAGGTGTACGCCGTGGATGTCAATGGACCTCCCTGGTTGTCACGCTGTGGTATTGTACATGAATAATGATCATAATAATCACGACCGCCTTTGACAAATCAATCTGGTCACACTAGCTGCCATGCCTTCCGAGCAGCCGAGGCGCCGCGAGGTGCATCATCATGTCTCTTTCTCTCCGCGATTTGACCAAATCGTGACAAATTCCTGATGTGATTGAGCGCCTAGACCATAACCCATTCTGGATCATCCTACGGAGGCATCATGGTCTGGGTTCGTGGTCAGGAGACATATGGCCAAGTGTATTGTAGATTGTGTCTCATCTCTGAACAGTCCGGCCCTTCGAGATCACTGGCAAGCGATGACATAACTCCTTTAGGAGAATCTGCTTTCTCCGCGGAAGGCGAAATGCTCTTGCAGCTGCGTTCCAATAGTCGACATTAAGATTATAGGAGATCACACTTTTCGATCACGAAGTCAGGCGTGACATAGTTTATGATCGTTATGTATTGGGAGTCTGGCCCGCGCTTAAGTTAGGTTGAGGCTCAGTCCGCTTCGGTCAGCCCGATAACCTTTCGGCGAGTAGTGCATTATGTGAAACAATTAGCGACCTGTGCCAACATAATCAACACACGCGAGAACTGCCTGCAGCGTGATGTGGCTGAGGCTTCGGTGGTGTTACACTTTCGTAGGCAGTATTGATGACATATGCGAAGGTGTAGCCGAAGATGGCTTTCGCGCGAGCCAAATGCAGTCGAGGGCGCGAGTCTGTACGAAAAAGCAACTCTCGAGTGTCGGCTGCGTCTTTAAAGGATTCATGTCTCCTCACCAAGAGAAGCACTCTCAAGTCTCGGAATCGGTGGGGTGTTCTAGCCAGATGAGCACCAGTTCGAATTGCTGGCCAGGCTTTTGCGATTGGGTGACGTCGACCGGAGCGCAGTCCGATGCCGAACCCAGTTGCACTCGAAACGGAGGTGTTCGAGTCAACTGCAGAGATCGACCAGCCTAAGATCTGTCAAGATGCTTGCTTCTCCCGGCTATCTGGGTCTAGATCTCAGCGGTAGCAGGGCTTGATACAAATTGTTTTAAGCGATGGTGGTGTGTGTTACTCTTGGTTTTGACGTCCAGCGGGCCGCTCCGTCCACTGATGACCATCGGAACACCGAATCGACAATCATGTGGAAACGTTCAACTACTAGGAACAATTCATGACTTAGGCAACTGGATGGTAAATTTCATTGATACATCTAGAGATAAGGATCCGGTAAAGGCCGTATCAGTGACTTCAATTTAAGACAAAGTTCTGCCGTGACACGGCAAGATAAGACCTGTCAACCACTTTAGGGGTCCACGGCAGGCAAGACACAGAGCTCATGACAGACGAGGCGAAAAAGGACGAAATGATTGAGCATGGGCAGAGAGGAAGAAAAGGGACCGCCTACGATCCTGAGACGATGGTGCTGATACAATGGCGGTTCCTAGGGATCGGGAGTGTCCCGGCACCCCGGTCGGCATTGAAGCTCATTGTGAACTCGGTTGCACACCTCGCCCTCGATGCGTATCCGTGGCAGCCTCACTGCGCAGATCGGAGCCGGTGAGGAACGGATGACAAGGATGGACTAGAAATTGGAACAGGTCTAAGGAAGAGCCACATGTCGGGAGGAGTCCTCCTGTGGCCTGTCGCAGGGCTTCGCAGACTGCAGGGAGCAGTGGCAAAAAGAGCAGAGGCACCCAATACAGTAACGAACCTGTGGTAGGTGTAGCAATTGGCAGCAACATCTTTAGCCAGTGGCTGCGAGATCGACCATGTCGCTACCATTGTTGGATACTTTTCTAATGACCACAGTTTCTATCATGTGTCCGTTGGCTATCCTTTGGCGTTTCTCATCGTGGCAACCCGGTCAACTTTGCTGACAGTATTCGCAACTGCAGGTAAAGTCTTTCTCATCTCAGGGGCATAATGTGTGGCTGCGGTTTCGTATCTGGCAATCGGGCAATCCAAGCTGTGAATGCCTTCATCCCCGCCGGTGCCCCAGTCGTCCCCTTGCCAAGCGTGCAAAAAAACAGGTTGGCTGAAAAAGTAAGGCGAGAAGGATGTATGCTTCACATGGGCTAAATGCAGTAAGGATGAGCAGCCGTAGAGTACTCTAGTCAGGGCAGATAAGCGACCGTTTTGGGGATCCAGGGTCCGGGCTCCAAGTCAGGAACGGTCAAAAATGGTCCCACGACGGCATCTGGGGTTTCCGGGGTCATGGAATGGAAAAGTGAGGCCCAAGATCGCGAATTTGCAGCAAATGCGTTGGACCGCGAAAAGGCATCTCGATCCATCCTATGCGGGCACTCGTCATCGGTCCCAGTGTTTTCTCACGTCGAATGCGTGCAGAGCGCGGGTTTCCCTTGTAGCTCTCCTGCACAGTCGCTGGTCCTGCAGATGGTCTCCGATGCTTGCATGGATGTCTCATCCCTAAGTAATCGGCGGCTTGACAGGCGCCAGGTTCCGGAAACAAGGGTCCAGTCCGTGCTTGTGCCTCGTCGTTAAGGTCGTGCTTCTCTTGGTGGTGCACCGGCAGCTTGGATCACAGGGTCCAAAGACCCCAGTTAACGAGTTTGTGGCTCTCGTTTGCTCTCACGATCCCCGTCTCTCGCCCTGTCCTATCAAGATGAGCGGCGAGGACCCAGAAATCAGCAGGAGCGAATCGAGGAGGGCGCGACTTCCCCATTCGTCATTTGGTCCCTGATTGAAGCTTGCCATCCACACGGTCGGAAAAGTGGGGCGATCGCTGGGCTTGACAGGGGTCTGAGCAGGGGTCTGTGAATCGTCATAGTAAACTCAACAACTCTCACTGTCATGGACTTTTACAAGCAACATATCGTCCACGATCCTAATTCCAAATCTCCACTTCATGTTCCGCTTCCCTGCGGACGAAGGGCAAGCTACCTGCCTGGCCGTCACAATGATCCAGCCCAGCACTCGCCTTGTCGCGTGTGGCGTTTTGGACCCATACGCGAGCTCTTCATCCCCGGCCAACACAGGACAAGGGAGCATGTATTTGAGAAAGCTCCTCTCTGCTCTCGATGCTTTTTCAGGAACATCAAAGCATCCGGCCTTTATAAACTAATTGTCCGATCCTGCGGACCGAGCCTATAGAGCCGAAAAGTCAAACAAATCTCTTCGAAAGCTTAAATCACCACCAATAAGAAGACTTCAGTCGATCAACTGTACTTTGTTTTCCGGTCTGGGTCTGGGTCTGGTTCTGATTTTGATTCATCCCATTGTCGCTTTCGTTGAGCTTTGTTTCCACACCTGTCCACTTGAGATTGGACCCTTAGTTTGATAAGCCCTTAAGCTTCACGGCTCGTCCCTTCCTTGACACCGTCTCTATCAATATCTGAGACAATGCCGACGGGCAACACGCTCATTTATCTGATACGTAAAGACCTACGTGTGTCTGACAACCCAATCTTCCATCATCTTGCGACCTCGACTGATCACGGCTTCACTCACTTGCTTCCTGTCTTTGTGTTCCCACCTCATCAGATAGAGGTATCGGGATTCATCAAAGATGGCAGCAAAAGCCCCTTTCCGGAGGCGAGAAGCCAGGTCGGAAAGTATTGGAGATGTGGACCGCATCGAGCAAAGTTCATCGGCGAATCGGTGTGGAACCTGAAGACCTCTCTGGAGTATCTTGAGAGCGGTCTTCTTCTACGCGTGGGCCTTCTGGGCAATGTGGTTCAGAATTTGATTGATGGACTACATCAAAAGCAGCTGAAAGTCGGCGCGGTTTGGGCAACAGGGCTTGAAGGTACTGAGGAGAAAGGAGACGAGGAGGCAGTCTCAACAATCTGTGAGAAGGAGGGAGTCGACTTCAAATTATGGGTTGACGAGAAGTATTTCATCGACGAGTAAGTGCTAGTGTATAGTCTGGCAAGAAGCGCAACTAAGTTGGTCAAACAGCCGAGACTTGGCCATCGAAAACTCTGGTGTTCTTCCTGATGTTTTCACGGAGTACCGTAAGAAGAGCGAACCATTGCGTGAAAAACCGCGCGCGACTCTTCCAAAGCCAGAGAAGGCATCTTTGCCGCCCATGATCCCAGAATCTGAGCTCCCTGCGCAAGAGGCGCCATTTGAGATACCCACAACATACGATGCTTTCGAAAAGGCAATCGTTGATCCCGTCAAGAACTTCGTACCTAATCCACCTCCCTTCCCGGAAAACACTGCGTCAGTTCATCCTTTTAAAGGAGGTGAGGATTCCTCCCATGAACGGCTGGCACATTTGCTGAAGTCGGAGGTCATGGTCAACTATAAGGACACTCGCAATGGCCTTTTGGGTAGAGATTTCAGTACGAAACTTTCTGCATTTCTTGCCCAAGGATGCATCACAGCCCGGCAAATCCACGAAGAGATGGCCAAATACGAGGACGGAAAAGACTCGGCTTATGAGAATGTGAAGGGCTACGGCGAAGGCGAGAATGATGGCACCAAAGCCGTGCGCTTTGAGCTATTATGGCGCGATTTTATGCGCTTGTGGACGCAGAAAGTCAAGTCGCGTCTATTCCGTCTCGAAGGTTACCGAAGACAAGAGCACTACAAAGATGGAGAACAGAAGCCGAAGTGGAAAACTGCAGATGAGAAACAAGCCCTTCCCGCACAAGAGCCAGGACCGGCAGAGGTGACTAAAATCCTCGAGAGGTTCAATGCTGGCACAACGGGTATGGGTTTTATCGATGCTTCACAACGGGAACTTATTCACAGTGGTTATACGTCTAACCGAGCACGCCAAAACGTGGCAAGTTTTCTTGCAAAACATCTTGGAATTGACTGGCGCTATGGTGCTGAGTGGTACGAGATGCTGCTAGTGGACTATGACGTCTCTTCGAATTGGGCAAACTGGCAGTATGTTGCTGGGGTTGGAAATGACCCACGCGGTCCGGATCGAATCTTCAATCCGGTAAAACAAGCGTTCGACTATGACAAAGAAGGTCTTTACGTCAAAGCTTGGGTACCGGAGGTTCGTAACCTGGAGAAGTTGGAAAATGTCTTTCAAGCATGGACCACGCCAGAGGAAGAACTCGAAAAAGCTGGGTTGGTTGGGAACGTGATGGTTACAGATCCGATCAAGCGAATCGAATTCTTCGTCGAAGGGAAGCCTAGAAGTTCAAAGCGTCCCTACGGTCGTAGACGGGGTAGTACGAGACGGCCACAGCAAGGCAATTCGCCGGAGGGGCAGTCCACCGGCGGTCAAAGCAGTGCTCCCGCTCAGCAGCCGACTGGGCCCCCTAGTGGCCCGAGTGGTGCGCCTCCTAATAGAGGTGGATATCCGAGGGGCGGTGGATATCGTGGAGGCTACCGTGGCAGAGGAGGTGGCGGTTATCGAGGGCGTGGGTACGGTGGTGGTCGAGGGGCATTCCGCGGTGGCTACATGGGACCCCCTCGACCTTCGTGGGCACCCCCTGCGAATGCGGGAGCTTAGAGCGATTTGTCCTCGTGGCATTTGTCCCGAAGTTCTTTGAACAGCTCAAAGTGGCTATTGAAATTGAAATCGCACGATACCACGCCATAGAACATATTGCTCAGATATTTTCTTATTCGCGGTTTGGATCTTGGGAACTGAATAGGGGTTCGGATACACTGGTTACGGCTGAATGGTTTGGATCTGCTTGCTATCTCGGAAAGCGGTGCCCAGCAGCACAGAGGATGGAGTTGGAATTGTAAAAGAGACCTTGGCATAATTCAAGCTTGCTATTGATGTAAGAATCAAACCACCAAACTCCATACCATGCTACTGCTTCAACATGCATATTTTTGACCACCACAATACCTATGATTTCAATGCCCACATAAATTATCCACCATTGCCAAGCTCTTGTCAAGCTATGTCCTATAGCCCGCTTGAATATTTACCATGTCTGCTGCGCCTTTAAGCCTCTCAGAATCCCTCCTTGATCGATGGCAGCTTATAGCCCTTTGGCGCGACAAAAAGCGCCTTCGCCTCGACGCACACCTTTCCGTTAGTGTTCTCCAGGCATCCCCTCACCCAGATCTTGCGCCCACTCTTACTGCGCTCCGTCTCGTCCGCCAGGTCGCCATCCAGCATCGGCAGCGCCCGCACGACGTAGAAGCCGTTGCTCAGCGTTGGCGCCAGATAGTTGAGCTCGAGGCGCGCCGTCACGCCCGTGCCGCCGGGCAGCCTCTGCGCCGCGCACCGCCCGCAGTTCTCGTCCAGGATCGTCGCAATCGTACCTCCGTGCACCACGCCCGGCCAGCCCGCCGTGCCCGGCCCGAACCACAGCACGGTGACTACCTCGCCAGTCGAGGCGTTGTGAAAGATTTGTTGGTATGCGCCCAAACCGCGCGATCCCGCAAGGGGCCCCGAAGTAAGCCGCTTCGTTAGGTGATCGGCGGGCAGGCCAGTGTAGGCAGGCCAGGACTCCCAAGCCGGGTCGGCGGAGAGGGATTTCACGACCGGCAGCTGTGCCGCTTGCGATCGAATGACTTCTATTGTGTATCCATCTTCCTTTGTGCCCGGTAGAGGCGGTGTCGGCGGGTCTAGGAGGAGGCGCACGGAGGAGCCGGCGGCGGTGCCGACAAGGAGGAAGATGAGGGCGGAGATGATGCGCCTGCGCGATCGGGGCTTCTTCGTTTGTTCAGCGGCTTCTGATACTTGCTGCTTCGCGGCGGCGCTGGGATCGAGGGCGGCGTCTTGAGCTTGCGATTGGTAGCGGCGCTGCTCCTGGATCATCTTGAGCGATGAGCCAAAGCCGTGAAAGCCCCGACTCGGTGGTTGGCTCAGCGCAAGGCGCGTTGCGACTTCATGCCATCGGAGAGCTGATGACTTAGATGCGAGTAGCTGCGATTGTGAGTTGACCGCCTGCAATTGAAACAGCTGCAGAAGCGGCCGATGTCGCACTGGGGGAGGCATGATGCTGTTGTTGTAGATAATTCGAAAATTGCGCGCTCATCGTGATGTGACACGATCCTCGGCAGAGTGGCTCGTTATATTGTCGGCCACGGCAGGCAAAATAACGTTATCCGCTAGCAGGGAGCCGTTGGGGCCGGGTCAATTCGGGGGCGCCCGGGCCATTATCCGGGTCACCTGGTGCCGCTGACTGACTCCAATATCGAGTTTCATGCATGGAGCCCGCTGTCAATTGCTTCGTCGACTGATCAAGGCCGAGACTGAGCGAAAATATCCCGACACAAAGTTTTGAAGTATCTCGTAAGAAACAGCATTCGTAGTAGAAATGCTTTCTGAACATTTGCCATTCGTAGAAGGTGGTCACGGCGTTTCAGCTGTTCCCAGGCGATTCGTTGACCCAAACGTAGCGTCCCTTCCAACCGTCTAAACTAAGTCCAAAAGGGAAATAAAAAGTATCTTGTACTGCCTCACACAGCGGAATGATTCGTGACTCAATAGGCTCCTACGCCGTAGGGTAATCTCGGAAGATAGTCTCGAATTCAAGTTTTGTTGCTTGAAAGGCCTCAGACTGCTAATAAGGACCCCGTGTCTTCTGGTAATCGGCTGTTGACTTTCTCTTTACCTGTCACAACATGACGGCTGAGTCAACTAACACCGACCTCTCCACCTAGACACCTGGTTAAGAGAACATGTTCGGAAGGGCGTCGGTTTCGTTGTCACTGAGTACCTCACGACACATCACCACAATGACTGCCCGGGACAGTCAAACGTTCGTGCTCCCTGACGGCCGTGTCCTGGGCTACGCCGAGTACGGTTTGCCCAATGGCTATCCAGTATTCTATTTCCACGGCTTCCCCACGTCGCGGCTCGAAGCTCGTGGGACCGACGCAATAGCTCGCCGCAAAGGCCTACGAATTATTGCTATTGACCGGCCAGGCTTTGGTCTCTCTACCTTTCAACCCCAGCGGCGGATCATAGATTGGCCTGCCGATGTTCAGGCTTGCGCTCATCATCTAGAACTGTCTAAGTTCGTTGTTTTAGGGGCATCTGGAGGTGGCCCTTACGCGCTGGCATGTGCTCATGCAATACCCCAAGAAACGCTATCGGGCGTTGGCCTCTTCGCCAGTGGGCCGCCGTGGGTGGCGGGCAGGCAGTACATGTCTCGCGCACGACGGATGCTTGCTACAGCAGTGACATATTGGCCGTCCGCAGTCCGGGTTGTCACCAACGTTGTAGTTGGGATGGCGAGATGGGTCGCGAATACCGGGCCAGTAGCCCGACGGGTCGATGCATGGATCGAGAGCCTAGACAAGAAAAAGGACGTCAAGGAAGAGGACGAGGTTGAGGAAGATGAACACCTGACGATAGCCCAGCGGCGAGAACGCCTATACCGAATGGGCTTTGAGGGTTTCGCGCAGGGCGCACGGGGCTTTGTGCACGAGACACAACTGCTTGTCGCTGACGACTGGGGATTCAAGTTCGAAGATGTGACTTATGACAAGGTCCACATATGGCATGGAGCAAAGGATACGTTTGCACCGGCGAGGATGATTAGGTACATGGCAGAGCGCTTACCTCACTGCGAATACAAGGAATATGAGAACGATAGCCACGTAACTCTTGGCGATCACCTCGAAGAGGCCTTGTCAGAGCTTGTGCCAGAAGAGTTGTCAGCAAAGCACGAAACTGTCCGGCACAGAAATACCGCTGTGTCTACCTAGACCAAGCGCGGGATGACGATTTGTAACAACAGAAGCCCACTCTGAACAATGTATAATAAATGAGACTTAGAATAGACAGTCTTATGTTAACGCCTGTCAATCTAGGTATTTCTTATTGAACATCGAGGCATCTTTAGCTGTCCGACATGCCTCCCTCCTTTGCCGGCTCTTTTGCTGCTGCAATCGGCTTGACAAACTTAGCCTTGACTCCCCTGAAGAGCTTGTCGGCCAGAAGCTTTTGAACAATTGGCTGTGAGTTGTGCTCATCAAATGCCTTCCGTCCCTTATACCTCTCAAAGAAATGGAAGATGTTGGGATCATCAGGATCCCTTCCCAAGCAGTAATACACTATTCCAGTCTCAAACTGCGAGAGCCTGGTTGTTTCCGCATAGACGGCTTCTAGAGCGTCAGCGTGCTCTGGGTACGCATAAACCTGAAGGTAGGATTAAAAACTGCGACTGAGACCATTTGACGACACGGAAAAGATCAATATACCGTCCCATATACGCAGAACTCTTCGTCGGGGATTGGTGGGAGCTCGGTCAGAAAGCCTTCGAACTCGTTCGCCATTTTACTTGCAATATAAGTGTTAGGTGCCGGACCTCTGGAAAATAAATCGTTGGTTGAAGATTCAGATCAAGTAAGAGCTAGGAGCTAGAAGCTTGAATCCAACTTTCGAGACACTTCAGATCCTAGATTGGAAGAAGAGCTGAAGACATGTTCTAAGATTTATTCCCAGCGGCGTGCTTAGCCATTTGTGGTAGGTGCTTAGCTATGTGAGACCTGCACACCTAACGGCTTTAGGTAATCTGACATAGAGACTCTGAGATAGATAAGTTATTAAGTAGACAATGCTGTTCACTCTTTCTCTCTTTTTTTACCTTGATCACCGGCTGATTACTTTTTGCGACCCGCGATGCACCGTATTCTGTCCCATTGCGCTTGGCAACCAAAGTCGCATCTAACCTGTAGCATAGAGTGTCTTCGGCAAAAACATTTTCTGTGGTGTCCTTGATATGACAAAGTCGACCACATCGATAAAACATGGTTCAGGCCCTTGATTCAGATATACTCTTTCAGCTCTGACCTCTATGAACGGGAAGGGCACCTTATTCAGTGTCCAGCTGTTAGAAGGATATTCATGAGTCGGCATGGTACGAAGCTTTGGACTGCTCACACTGGAGATGGGATCCCAGCGAGCAAATGTCCAACTTGAATCCTGTCGCCACAGGGAGTCTATCGACACGAGTGAACTTTTCGCAGGCGACAACGCCTCCTTTGAATCGAAAATGCGGGTCGATCTTGTGACACAGCCATGTCTCAGAAGAATTGGGGACGGAGGTGAGTACCTGGGCACCCCTAAAGTGATTGTGAAGGGGAGTATAGTATGTATTGAGGCAGATAATAGGTAAAGATCAACAATTGCTGATGGCGCAAGCTCTTACATCTCGACGACGCTCAGTAGGATAGTGTTTCCAGTTCCGCTGATTGCAGTCAACAGTGGCCAAACCTCGGCTCGCAAATATGATACTGCTTGTCAATATGACTCGAGCTTCCTATGATTGCGCACTCAAAAAATTCCCTCTCTAACAGCTACAGCAGGATGCAGACCAGCAAGAGCAACCATTTCTTCTACACTCATTCTGAAGAGGGAAGCATTGACATTGGTAAATTTCCTAGCGGCAGCAAGCGCTTGATGGTGACATTCACATGGACCTAAGCTCCGAATATATGTGTATCTTGCCCTCCTATTGAATATCCAGACATTTCAAAAAGTGGTCGTCTCAAATCAAGGCATATATATTCTCACTTCACAATGCCAAGCCCTTTGCCCCCCTTGTCCAGCGATAGAGTGACAGCGCTCTCCTTCGCGCCTTATGCTCCTCCCATTCCGTAGGGCTAGAGCCTCGAACACTATACAAAGTCGATCGCAATACTTTCCTGAAGTTTTTCTGGTCAATGCATGTTAGCAGGGTCTCTCTCAATTGCATAAAAGTAGTGGCACACCTGGAACTCGGTGCTGAGAGTCACTACGCAGACCTCGTGCGCCCTGATAATCGTCTCGCACGCCTGCTCAACGGATTGATTCGGACCTAGCTGGGGCATCCTATCCGCGAACAGCAGTAGAATGAAGCTCCCATGTAATAAGTAAATGCCAAATAGGTACGGCATAAACGTAAGCTCGGGGTCAAACTTGAGAATGCTCGACACGGCCTGTGATGCGGCAATAGCGTGCGATGCGCAGTCATTGAACCTTGTCGAGGTGATCCAGTCGTCATCATCATCTAACATGCTGATCGCATCCCATTTGCCGTGGAGAAGAACGTGGAGCACGTGCAAGATATGTGTACTGTAAGCCATCACGAGCTGCAGCCTGGAGCGATCTCGCGGCCGATTTCTCGGCGGTGGCAGCGTAGAGGTCGGAGTCGTCTGCAGAGGCAGACCGGTGACAAGATCTTTGATGCTCGGTCCGTTACTGTAGTCTCCAATATCGGCCTCTCTACGTAAATTCTCTATGCTTGCTTCGCAATTCGCAAGAAGGTCTCCAATAACAACCACGGAGTGTGAGTCATCCAGGCCACCGAGACGCGGATGTTGTCGTCGGTGGTGGACTTCAATAATGTCTCCAAGAATGGCCATAAGCGGCAGAAAGTATTCGAAAAACCCTGTGCCAGTGATAGTGGTAGGTGGTCCTAGTACTCGGGCAGGGAGGTCTTTTGGAGGTATTGTGTCTAGGCTTTCCCAGACGGCTTCGGGTAAAGGGGCTGCCACGACATTAGTCTTACAGCACAACAAGATCCTCCTAGAGTTAGGTCTCACCATAAATTTCACAGTATGAATCGGGTATACAGAGGACAGCGTTGAAAGACAAAGCAAGATGACGATCCAAGCAATAAATTAGCCAAAATACACGCCGCCTCTCCTCTCTAGCCTCGGAGTTGGCGATTGAGGTGCCGTCTTGGTCTCTCCGGCAAGAGCACAGAGGATTAGCGCAAGGAGAGACAGATGCCGAGCAACGCTCATCTTCTCTATTCAGCTTCAAGGACGTTGCGAGCCGAATTGCCTTGCTCCACCACTTGAAGCAGTCGCTCTTGAAGTCACCACCGGATACGGCAATGGACAGAAGAATGAAAGTCAGGACATCATCAATGACACCGGCTGGCTCATTCGTTTCCGTGGTGCTTGGAAGGGCTGAAGCGTAAGCAAAGTGAGGTTGAGGCTGTTCACTCTCAATCCGAAGACCACCTAGCATAAGTTAGTACATACGAGACGCAGGCTGTTACGAAGTTCATACCATGGATCCTTCTCCAACGATCAGGGTCTCTATCTGAGATCAATGTGGTTGCTAGCTCATAAAGCGCGTTACATATCTTAGATCGAGATCCTGGGACGTGCAACAAGACAATGTCTGCTGTTTGCGCTGAGCACCAAAGCATAGTGGCAAGGAGAGCAGGAGTAGTCGGCCGAGGTTGGGTTGGATGCAGTAGAGATTTTCTCCTGAACAATCGGGTGAGAATATAGGGGGATGCACAGCGGAAGAGCGAGCTGCCTGGCTCCGTGAGGTAAACATCGAGAAGGTCGCAAGCTACAGAAGCCGGGATGATATCCCTTATGTATGGCAGCACTGGGTCCAGGCATCTGTACCGACAATCTGCAGATGGTGCTTTGTACAGGGAATTCACTCCCCGGAGCTCAGGTATAGAGCCTTCACGGCCATTTGAAGTGGAGAAAGAAGTACGGTCCGTCGGCCTCACAGCATGGTTGTTGCTGAAAGATTGTCTTTCGTGGGAGTTCGAAGCTTGGTGGCCTAGGATGCCATTGGCGGGAGAAGGATAGCCCACACTATCATCGGACACAAGGGCCTCTTCATTCGCGCGGGATATGGTTGCCATACGTCCTGGGCTATCATGTGGCCTCCGGATGACTTGAGGTTCTCCTACTGGGTCCAATAGGGAGGCAAGTTGTAGGTTCGTGTGATTCCCGTTGAATCCAGGAGAAGGTAGGTAGTTGCCCGAGTTTGACGGCGCACCAGTCGGTTGTGGCCCGATCACGGGCCCTGTAGGGCTATTCTCATCACTAAATCGTGGACGACCGAAAGCAGACGACTCGCTGTCTCTGTGGCGCCCTTGAGGCTGTGAGAAGGAAAGACGAGGAAGCTGTACATCAGGAGACACCAGCGGCGGCGAAGGAGATGCTGGGCCAAGCTGATGGACCTTGTTCCCTTGGTTGGCGGACTGGCTTGCCTCTGATTGGGCGGAAGAGTTGATCATGTTCGTGGGCACGCGGCCCCTTTTCTTAATCTCTCGCTCATAGCGACATGTGTAGCCATAGTCTAGATCTGTGTAAGAGACGTCACACGACAATGGAGCGGATAGTAAGGAGCAGCTCAGGAACGTGAGTACAACACATCATGGAACACCAAAACATGTGCCTTGACATTATATGATGCGTATCTAGAATTTTTGGAGTTGTGGGAGCCAAGGCTTAAAGAGATAAAGCGAGAGAGCCGCTACATACCTTCACACCGACGGCTATTCAGAAGTGACGAGTCTGTTAGCGCGACGCGCCCAAGTTGCGGCGGGAGACTGGAATATCAGATCATAAGAAGACTCACCATGGACATTCGCCATCGCAGCGTGTCCGAGAGATGCTGCACTTATCACAAGCCCTTCTGGTTCTCTTTCTGGGCCGTGCATGCTCCTGCTGCTGGTCATCATCGTCGACCTGTGGAGACAGATCCCTCTCCTCAACCTCCATCCTCTCCACCAAATCGGCGCGGTCCATGTCTATGTACAACTCCGGACCTCGAGAACCTCCACAGAGGCCCTACCACAACATCGGGGAAATCAAGGATCTACAGCCACAATGAGCGAACAGGAAAAGCCAGGTCTCACGTTGTCAGGGGCTGGTTTGTTATGGGGAAAAATCTTCCGTCGGGCAATTGCATCCCTGGGGGCGACCCGGAGTGGTTCTATCTCCCCGCATCGCGCCACTAACGAATTGGTTCCAGACTGCTGGGGATTGGGGAAGCTAGGAGAACTTCAAGTGCGGGGCCGCTAACTCAAAACCGGGATGGCCTGCAACGACGTCTTCCAGTATCTTTACTTGTCTTGCGGATATGCGACGTCCGGGCTTTCCGGATCGAGTTAGGTGGAGGTTCGACAGGCCTTGAGGCTCGTTGAGCCTCATGTTGTACCTTATCTTGTCTTGATACTTAGGAACTATGTGTGAAAACATCAATTTACTTAAGCTATGGTAAGCAGGAGCTACTTTGATGTGCTTCGCTGTGGATATGAGATTTCTGTAAGACATTTGGAAAGTAACCAAGGCCCACCATTGCGATGTTAGAAATCTACATATCAAATTGACTGACACTCTAAGCCTGCTAAGAAGCAACAGCCAAGTCATGCCATGGCTGATTATCTAACTGTGATATCCATACAAAATTCATCATAAATCAACTGACGCCGTATGGTATCCATGGTATGCCTTCCCAACGCGGCCAAATGCCCAAACATGATATGAATCCCGGAAGGAGTAAGAAATGCACCTTCTAAACACAACCTTGATAAACTCCTCGATTTCAATAATGCTCACAACCTGGAAAGATATCTTCCAGTCCTTAGGCGAGCTTGGGCAGAAGCGCGGGATTGAATGCCTCTCCATTTTCGGTCTTCACCTCAGGGGCCAATTCAGAATTCTTCCCAGTAGTGTGGGGTGTCTGTACACCGTTGGTCTCTTGAATGGTGTTCTTTTCATCCTCTGGTTGAGACTTGTAAGTAGCTTCACTCTTGGATAACTCCTTGGCAACAACAGGTGATGCCTTGGTCTCTGACTGTTCACTAATGATTTCAGAGGCTTTCGATGACCCATGAGTCGCAGGACAAAACTCCTTCTCGGTGTGGCTGTCCTCAGGTGTGGTATCGGTATCGCCATTGGCCAGCTTAAGGCCACTCTCCACTTCGTCTGCCAGTCTCGAAACCTCATCTTCAAGCTTCTCCTCGCGCTGCTTAGAGCTTTGCAGTTGCTTGGCGGCCTCCTTCTCTCCGACTGTGACTCGCCACAATTCCTCAAGCTCATCCCTCCAGCCGAGCTCATCTGCGAGTCTGCGTACTCCCGAATCACAGTCACCCAGCACAAGCACGTCATCACTCTTGGTACCGAGGCTGCCGACCCTCTCCATATTGAAGAGAACTCGGGGAACACCATCCCGGACGAGCTCTGGTAGGCTTGCGAAAGGATGAACGGTCAGACTCGTGCCGAGGATAAGTACAAGGTCTGCCATCGCAGGCACTGATCTATTGTTGTAGAAGGATGCGGGAAGCTGCTCTCCGAAGAAGACGATGTCGGGCTTCACCAGACCATCGCACTGTTTATCCAGGCAATGCGGAACTTCGCCCTTGAGAACATACTGCTTCATCTTGTCGTCCGGGAATGTGCGCTTGCACTCGATGCATCGCTGTGTTGCGAAACTGCCGTGTGCCTCCACAATCAGCTCATCGGGGACACCTGCCTCACGCTCGAGACAGTCGATATTTTGCGTGAAGAGCATCGACAATAGACCCTTGTTGGCCAGTAACGTGATGAAGACATGAGAGATTGTAGGGGCATAGTTGCCTGGATACAGCTCCTTGGCGAGCACATAGAAAGGCTCAGGCTTCTGTCGGAAGTATGAAATGTCGAACACTGCTTCTGCATATGGCAGATTCAGACGAGCAAGATTGGCGTATAGGCCGGTCGTTGGGGAACGGAAATCGGGAACTGTGGGTGGCAGCATCATGTTAGCAGCCGCCTTTGCGATTGAAAGTCCGTCAAGTACCACGGGCTGAGCTTCACTTACTTCCAGCTGCCGTGGAGAGCCCGGCGCCGGTCATTACCACTATCCGCCGCGCGCGGCCATTTTTGATGAGGTCCGCGACAGCCGGCAGACTGCGGGCAGAGAGGCTTTGAGGAGGGGTGCTCTCGTCGACGAGAGTAGAGGATTCCTGGCCCATCTTCTTAGGTGACCATCGACTAGGCCGTGATGGTTTCTGTTGGTGGCGGGGTCGGTGTCGTCGACCTATTTTGACGGATTTTGAAGCGATTCTTCAGGGCAATGGTTCTCTAGAGGGAATAGAAGCCTTATATAGGTCTTTGCGAGGGGCTTGAGGCAGAAATTCCGTGATCTGAGGTTTGTGGTGTGCAAGGCAGAAGTAGCTAACAGCGGGGCAGAGGCAGAGAGGCAGCTATCTTCGACGGTACCTAACGGCGACAAAAAAAAGATTGTGGGTTACATCATTTGCCAGCTCGGCACAAGCTAGCGCCAGCCAGCCTCCACCTATATATAGAACTAGCCTCTTGAGACTTCCTCTCACTATTCTGTAGGATTCAGGATAGGATGGTGGTCTGTTATGATAACTAATCAACATCTCAACAGTGCTTTGCCCGTATATATCGATAATTATCTTCTATGGGGGAATTTTTTTTTTCAATAATAGCATTAGTGACTTCGCTACATGTACGAATCAACATCCAATATATATAAAACCCCGAAGGAGTTGAACTTGTGACAATCCATGGTAGCGAAATACGGTCTCACCTGAGATCAAGTTGACATAGCCTAGAATTAAGTCGAGGGATCTGGAGAAGATGTATGCTGTGTCACTTCAGAGGATTCAGTCAAAGGAAGAATATTGCCCAGGTCTCGCTGCTTTAGTAATCATGTAAATGCTTTTGTTGAGGCCTCTGTTTCAGCTGTTGCGTTGGATTCGTGTGAAACGTTGTCAAACTGAAGCTCTATTGAGTCTAATACTGCTAACAATAGCTGTAACTTTGTCCACGCAACCGTTACCCTAGTTATCTGCTTTTGTCACTTAGCGACCCCAATAAGCTTCGTAATTCTCAATCAGAAAATTGATAGCCTCTGCACGATATGTATCATCCTCTATGTAAACCATTTCAGTCTTGTTGGCATCGAAAACAAGATTTTGCGGCTTGTCAAGTATATACTTGGGCCAGGTAATATCGGTCATAACGTTGATATTAGGCGTCAAGTAGTTAACAAAACTGATCCACATAGCCACCATCACGGCTGATGTCTTCACATATGTAGCTGGGGCTTGAGGAACCCCAATTTTATCCAAGTTATTAAACCAGAAGGGAATATCGACAGCATGTGTGACCGCAACTTCAGGGCGCGCGTCAATGGGCACAACATTGAAGTGATAACTATAGAGCGATGCATTTGGAGAATAGCGTGCCCATGACTGTGATGTCAAGCGTCGGCTTGAGTGTAGTTGTTGATCACCGGCATACGCGGCTGAACGCTTCCATTGCGCGCCATAGCCACTGTCAAGTGACGGGCGATCTGACAACGTAGCTGGGATACCCAATGCCGGCACATCTGGCCAAAGAGCGGCTATGATTTGACCAGTAACCTCTGAGATATTGGTGCCGCCTGTTGTTGTTTCACTTAAGCTCGCAATAAAGTCTTCTGTAGTGTTGATATTCTTTGTTGCAAACGCGGTACCTTCATCGAAATTGGTTCCAACCAGGAAGGGTACCTTCAAGAAACGCCCTTCCTTGAGGCTCGTTGTCGTAGAGCTGGTAATCATGTCTCCATCGATGAAAGGTGTGTATGGATTTTCGTTGGGGGCCAGGTCTATGAATGCCGCACAGAGATCTGCTATTGGTACATTCTTCAGACAATCCAGTTTGTTCCCGTCGGACGGACTTCCACAATTGGTGGCATTGGCAACTGCATCGAAGAAAGGCTGCCATTGATCTGCAGTTTCGTAGTACTTATACGTTGCTGGAGTGCCGCTCTGTGCGACTGCACCACGGAAAAGACTATCATTACGGCCACCATAGACAACCAAATGATGGCCTACGCTAACGCCGCCGGCGCTTTCTCCGGAGATTGTGACTATCACGGGTAAGATCAGCTTAAATGCACTACTCGATGGATCAAGCAATGCTTGTACAAACCTTTTCCTGGATCACCTCCAAATGCAGCGATATTCTCCTGAACCCATTGAAAAGCCATTCGCTGGTCCCTGAGTCCAAGATTGGAGGCACCAGCTCGTTTCAGTTCCTCGCTCCAGAGCCAGCCAAAGGCGCCAAGACGGTAATTGATGCTAACGCCAATGATCGGAGTTCCAAGTCGCGTTGACTGATCAATGATCCAAGACATATTGTAGTTTGCCATACTACTAGACCCCTGGGAAAAGCCTCCTCCGTGAATCCAGATTAAAACAGGCAATCTGTCACTTGATCCTACGCCAGTTGGTCGGACAACATTAAGCGTCAAACAGTCTTCAGATACTTCGAGTGTACCTCCTCCTACTGCGTTAGAGCCAACACCAACGCAGCTGGGCGAGAACGCCTTTGCATCGTGACTCCCTGTCCATGATGTATTGAGAGACTGGGGTACAGCGAAACGGAGGTGGCCAATCGGCGGTTGAGCGTATGGAATTCCTCGAAATATATCTTGGCGGAGCTTAGGCCAGTATTCTCCGATATATGAGCCATTCACGGTGTCAGCCTTGGGTGAGTTTGAGCAGCTTGAGGCTACTGCTGCTGTGGGTATTAATGCTGTAGCCAGGATCGCTGTCCCGATGACGCTAAGACTATGTAACATGGTGAAGGAACCTAGGAGACAAATTGCTATCCTTGATGGGTTGATCACTCGGTGTCCTACCATCCGGGGGACAGCTTGTTTCAGCTCATATTTATACGGCCTCGCTGGCCAGAATAACACTGCCTTGTAACTGGTTTTTTCGGCCACGAATAGAGTAAATATAAGATAAGCCGGCGGCGGGTCTTATCTGCCGGAGGTTCCTTCCTAGCTCCACGAAGTCAAAGTCGTGATACCCTCAGTCATGAATAGGTATGTAAGTTAGTATAGTACTTAATTATGAACACCAAGCATGGGGTTCTCATTACCTAAACATATTTAGAGTATACATAAAACCTATTGAACGGTAAGTACTCTGCTAGCGCCCCAACTCCAAGGGAAGAAATCCAGGATGCGGCAGATAAGGGTGCGCGGCCCGGCCCCCTTGTTTTGACGTTTAGCAGTGTGTGGTGCAGCCCGACGCTACCTGGGTAGGTCAGACTTCGATGTGGATCATCAACGTCGATAAGAAAGACTTCTCGACCATGATAAGGGTAGACTGTCTCAATCCGGATGGATTGAAAAGGTTCGAGGTTGCATCTCTCGAAACAAATGTTTTACGACCTACAAAACAATTGTTCTGCTCGATGCTGCAGGAACTGTTAAGGGAAAGTGGTTGATTGTCCGCTATTTTGTGGAGATTGAATATATAATGTAACAAAACCTATCAATCTTCTTGGAACCCCAGGAACAAGTCCTTTGTTCATTTCGGTTGAACTTGGACCAAGACAATGCATTGTCGTGTTGTGCTGTTGCCGGAGATGGACTACTGGGGGAACAGAATTACAAGGTAACAAAGAAAAATATTGATTGAAAAAATATATATGTATCATCGTACGTGCTCATGAGGTCACTACATGATTTGTACCTCAGCGACAGTCTGGTCTTGACCTGTTCTAGCTGCTATTTTCTCTCAACAAGCATTGTTAATTTTTCATTGCTACGCGAAGCGAGAAATTTCAGCCGCCAGGATCAAAAAGACTTGACAAGATGGTGAACTCTTGTGCCAAAAAGTCACGGCATACTAGTGAGGGAAGAGAAGGGGCTAGCCTTCCGGATCCCAGGTACGTCTCACTCCTCTCCGCGTCTTTGAGAGCCGCAAACAGCGGTACAGTTGACCAGACTGACTTTCTTGAATCTGAGGTAGAAGAAGAACAAGTTCAGCAGTTTCGACAGAAGCATCTAACCCGCAGGTACACCAAAACCCCTATCGTGCCCGCACGATGTGACAGACCATTTGTCGGATACATGATGCTTGGCGTTGAAATCAACAGGCCGAGAACACATATGTGGTACGGAGCGTGGAGATGTTGTAATTGCAACACGTCGAACACTGAGATTGATACCATTTGCTGGTATTGCAAGGTTCACAATCGATGCGAAAGGTGTGAGAAGACAGGCGCTTAGACTCTTGTCCACCTGATGCATTGAGTCGATTTCGTTCCATGTCGCTGTAGGTCCAAGGTACATGAATACACTCTAGTTTTCATTTATAAATAGTCTTCGATTGATGATTGATGTATGACAATGTTCCAACCCCGACTTGCTGTCAACTAAATCCCAAAACTCATCGCCTAGATCTGATTCCTTTTGAGTACGGCCAATTTTCCTGTCCGTTTCTTTCTTCTAGTCATTGTGGCTTCCCGCGGAGCTAAAACTTGCAACACTGTCTCGACGTCTTGGAGCCCAGATCTCAACGCGGGACGACTGCCCATCTGTGTAAGGCCTGACCTGTTTGTTTTCACGATGCTGGCTAGCTACCGTGTTGAGATGTTCAATATAGTTCCGAACCGGAATATCCAGGACCAGTTCCCCGGGGTGTTTAGGTTCATTTGCCGAGAACGGTGGCGTGTCCAAACCAGTTTCTGCAGAGTCAGTGGGCTTCTTCCATCGCTTCAGTCCTTGGCTAGTAGCGTATTGAAAAATATCTGTTGCTTTGAGAACATCCTCTCGGAGGAGGGCCCAACGGATCCATGTCTCCTTCTCCAACATACGACGAATAATGTAGGTAGCTGGTACCCATCTCCCCTCCGCCAATCGAGCATGAACAAATAGATAGGCAGTGATATAGGAAAGAAGCGCCGGGTGTGCTTCCAAGACTTGTGGTGGAAAGTCGTCCGAGATGAGTGATTTAGAACTCGCTTGTTGTTCGTTCTCTAGAGGATGATGTCTGTCTACTGACAGCAAGTCAGCAACGTAGTGATTGGTCCTTATCCATCTAAGCACACCAGCGGCCGGGGATAGTTCTAGCGATCCACCTAGCGAACCGTGTCCCGAACTCCCATCCAATATGGATGCCGCATTATGGTTCATGACTTCGATTGATGATCGAGAAGAAGGCGATTGATCTTCGGCTGAAGCGCACTGGCTTGACAACAGCGTATGTTGTGAGTTGTCGTCCCTAATTGCCCAGAGATGTGCTCGTGCCTCAATTAGTGCATCTAATTCAGCAATCCTAATATAGTCCAGGCACGTAGCCATTATCGAGAGATGGCCGTTGCCTACGGGATCAACTTTCATGCTTTGTCCAAGGGCCCAAAAACCGGTGCCATCCAAAAAGAATTGCCGGACGGTCTCGTGTATAACACCAACGATACGGCTTCCGCCGTATTCGAGGTCCAATGACCCAGCCAAAGCGTATATCGACGCCATGTCGTTCTCATCATCTTCTGCAACGGTTCTCCAAATTTTGACTTCCACCAAACCTCTGGACATCCATCTGATCCGTCTTTCAAGCTCATGATCATCCTTAGTGATGTGGCCAGCCACTTCTAAGTCATGCAAAGATGAGGCGGTTGGCATCTCGATGAAGGCCATGATGTGATGCCATTCGTGGAGTCGAAGTGGCTTGATCGCGAGAACAACCCATTGAAAGAAACGAATGGCTTGCTCCCTCATATCCGAGTCAATGTCCTGCAAGGTGTGGGTGAACAAAGCTACGAGGCTTTGTGGCACTCTCCCTAGTTCCGTCAGTAAGTCCGATACGTTTTTGCCCTCATCCCACATAGCTAACAAACGATCCACCATCATGACCACCCAAAGGAAGACACCATCCGATTTCTCAATGATTTTATCCTTTACTTCATTCCACCGTGATTCCTGCTTTGCAATTGTAAGGTGAAACTTCTGCACCACGTATTGGCAGATATCATGATAATTCTGAACATCAACTAAAATTTCTGGGCAGTCGCTAATCGTGATATTTGGGAAATATCGGCTCGATAGACACACTTTCAGATGAACTCCCGCAAGATGAGCTGACTCAGTGAGTTCCCGCCAGAAGTACACTTCTTCTCTGTACCCATTTTGACATGCGTCGAGTTCGTCAATAAAGATGGTTGTCTGGTTCGACGATGGTCGGACAAGCAGCTCACGAATAATAATACGGAGAGTCGCTTCGGACCAGAGGGGCCCTTGGTCCCCCGAAGCCTCGAAGGTTATGCTCAGTTCTCGGAGGAATTCTCGGTTACAAGTCAACAATTGGTACAATAGTGATCGAAGAAGGCCTTCGGATGACCGTTCCAGATTGTCGCCTTTTGGGTTGAAATAAAAGGCTGCAGCATTATGGCTAGACCCAGCTTGCTGTATCAGAGTTTGATGAAAAGCTTCCTTCATCAAAATTGACTTTCCCGCTCCTGGTTTGCCCTTCAGCCAGATGAGACCCTTGCTCCGTTCTCCGTCTTGGCCATGCAACCAGCCGCGATACACCTTGTGATGGAATAACCAGGAACACGTATGCTTTGCTGGAGCCACCAAATTCTGGCGACGGATGTTCATGCTCGGGAACCACAAAGTCTGAAGGAAAGCGTTATCCCTGGGACTCAGCTCGTCACTAAATCTCAATTCAAGCCTTTTCGGTACTGGAATCGTCCGCTGCATTATGCTCAATCGTTGTGTGTCTTTCAATTTGATTTGAGTAATTGATTCGTATATAGATTGAAGCTCCCCAGCAACCTTGCGATAATTCGGATCGTCGTTCCCCGTGAAACGGCAGATATCTCTATGATTAGCTTGCAGAGTTTCGGCACGCTCACGTTGGTCACCAATGATTGACGAAAAGTCCGGAACAGCTTTGTTACCAAGCACACCGAGGTTCACCCCAGTCATTCCAAGACCTTCTTGAAAAGTTTTGACTTTGAAATCGTATTGTTGCCACAGGGCAGAAAAGGCTTCCTGAGACCGTTGTAGGTCTGTCGTTTTCATTCCAAGGGTATCAAGAATCGCAGACGTTGTCTTAATTCCGAGACCACTAACAATCGTGCGAGCAAATTCACCAAATGCTGCAAGGCCTGGGCTACCACGATGGGGCGTCGCAAAGAACACTACTGCTGCGGTGTAGTCGATAATATTTTTGAGAGTAGGGTCAGTCGATGTCGATGATCCAGCCAGCATCTGCCATACAATGTTAGTAAGTTGTAGTGGGCTTTCCATGTTTCCTTAAAGTACGGTTGGCGTACTTCCTTGACAACAATGCCCCCGAGGCTGTGAGCTATAAGCACTAATGGCCGATTGAGCTCTCTCTCCCTGCCTAGTGTGAACAAGAGATCCTTCCCGTGAGAGTAAACGCCATTTTGATTCGGGGCTTCGCTCATATACTTTGTGACTTTAGAATCATATCCGTACAGCATAATACGCGCTCCGGGGCATCGCTCAGGAAGCAGATCAGCTGGCCAGAATGAGTATGACTGCTTGATGATACACGCCTCTTCAGTCTTCGCCAAAGCTGGCCAGGCGTCAGTCTCAACCAAGTCTGGCTTCGAGAAAGTCTTCCGAAACTTCTTCGAGAGGTCGGTAACTTGGCGTGAAAGCCTTTTCCGTCCTGTCTTGACACCTGTGAGCGCACCCGGATCCGAAGCCCATGTCTTGTACGGATGGCCTTGTAAACCATGAACGAAAACAATGCTATAGACAACGGTTAGCTTGGAATGGTAAATTGTAGTTCAGGTCTTTGGGACTTACTCCAGGTCAGGCACGCAGTCACTTGGTTCATAAACGACCGAGATACCGGTATCCAGGATAGGATGCATTGGATAAGCCTCTAGATCTATATCTATGCCCCATGAAAAGGTAACTTTTGTTTACATCAAGTAGACGTCGTACATCTTAGGTAGATGTCATTAGAGCGTGATGACAGTAGCTAGCCTTGTGATTGACAGCACATTGGCAAAACCTCCCATGCATCGCAATTCTGCCCCGCCCCTAATCACCAATCATATTTATCAGGGCTCGCATCTTGCATTTTTATATGTAGAGGCTGCGCAGGTGAGCCTTTTGTCTTTATGATTGTCACTAATCTGGCGATATTCGCTGTGGGGAGAGCGTGAGGAAGAGAGCCGTTCATCTTCGCCAGAGCATTGATGAGTTAGACAGAAACTCAATTAGGGTAAGATCTGAGAATTTGCAGTATATGGCACGCTGAGCAAGTTTGAAAGAGAGGAATTGTGCAACAGCTCGGCCAGGAGTAGAGTTCAAGTTGACTCCGTGGATTTTGTATCAGAGCACACTGCATTACATAAGGCACTTACCTACCTAAGCCTACCCACCTGTACCGAAATATTTAGTGACAGCATTTTCACCACCTTAATTATTATCGAGATGCATAGCTTTCACTGATCAGAGAGTTGGCTATTAAGAAATATTGTCTTTTACCAGTCCACAATGGCATTTTCAGCTTTACAACCACACATTCAAATTTGAGGGTGGCTCGCATTGATCGACCATTATAATGGCTTTCCGCCTCCGGCACATCCACCTTCCCTCCGCCCCGGGGCGCGGCATCTTCCCAACATATGCCTCCGCCTCGGCGCTGCAGGAGCTGCTTCGGCGACAATTCCTCGACGCCAAAGACAATGGCACCATTTCACAACTTCAGCCAGCGGTCATCTCATTCACGCCGCAGCCCACATTCACGCTCGGCAGGCGGCAGGCCGAAGCAGCCCTCAGCAGCGCTGAGCTCGCGCGCCTCAAGGCGCCCCTGCGCATCACCAGCCCAAACGGGCAGCACGTCTTCGAGCCCGCGGTGCTCGCCTCCCCGCGCGGCGGGCTGACCACCTACCACGGGCCCGGGCAGGTCGTCCTGTGGCCGGTGCTGGACCTCAAGTCGCCGCGGCACCGGCAGTTCTCGGTGCGGTGCTACTCGCGGCTGCTGGAGACGACCACGATCGCGGTGCTGGCGCGGCTATGGGGCTTGCGCGCCTTCACCACCGAGGACCCGGGCGTGTGGGTGCGCTCGGTGTTCTCTGGGGCCGAGGCGCAAGAGGAGGAGGAGCAGGAGACGCGCAAGATCGCCGCCCTGGGCGTGCATCTCCGGCGGCACGTCAGCGCTCTCGGCACGGCGATCAACCTCTCCATGCCCACGACGCGGGGTGTCGTCAGTCCTGTCCCCAGCGACGGCAGTGCGACAAGCGCGCCAGTCACCGACGAGGACGGCGGCCATGCTCGCCAAGAGAGCGATGAGGAATCCACGAACCCATGGGCGCGGTTCGTGGCGTGCGGCCTCGCGGGCAAGGGTGTAACGTGCGTTGCGGCCGAGACGCAGGCGGCGCTGAAGGATGGCCGCGGCGCTGGTCGTGGTGCTGGACGTGGTGCGGCTGTTGGGGGCGTTGTTGAAAGCGGAAGCGGAACCGCGGGCCTGAACGCCGGCACTGTGGCGTCCGCCTGGGCTGCTGAGCTGGCTAGGGCCCTGGGCGTGGAAGGGGTCGATGAGATCGATGAGGCCGGTGTCGAGAGTCTGCTTGCGAAGGCCAAGGATCAGGGGGCAGCTGGCTACGTTGCTTCCGCGGAGGAAGCGCTGTAGGACTGTACTGAATACGAAGCTCAACCTGTAGGAAGGAGGAGGAGTGGGTGTTGCATGATATACCCGGGACTCACGGCGTCATGAACTTGTACAAGACATCATAGATTTAGGACGGACAGCAAAGTGTGTTCGTGTTGGGTCCGAGAGGAACCCCATACCAATATATAATTTTCAATTAGATACCAGATATCCGGAGCGTTCCAAGCAATCAATCTCAAAAAAATGTCGAGAAGCTATTATCCCATTGCGCATTAACAATAAATAATGATGTGCTTAGACAAACAGAACGCCGGTGCTATGAGGCTGTAGCGGATATTGATCGCAGTTATTCCTGACTTTCCTCCAGAAAAGCAAAAGCCTCTGAGGTAGGACCAAATCGATTCGGTCCGTGATGAATGCGATGACTGAGCCCCCTGGTCCTTGTAGCTCAGCCTCATGCGGGTCTGGGCGCTGGAAAAATGAAGCAAGCATCAAAATCTTCCGATCTTCACTTTGACCCGATCTCATTACCCGGTCTCCGGGTGATTCAAATATTCGTCGGATAAGATGATATGCAGCACAGGGGTTCCCTTCCCTCCTTAGTCTCCTTGTCTTCTTGGGCACAGCTAGCCAAGTTGTATTCGAAAAGCAGAAATGCCACCGATGTCTACCATCCCGTTTATGCGATAGACTTTTAAGGCTCTCGTCTTCAGGGCTCTCTTTTTTGGGCGCACAGAAAAAGATGCAGGTCCAATCTGAATCAGCTGGGTCTTCATTCCTCCCAACCGAGATGCTGTGGTCTCTCGGACATTTCTCATCCTTCCGCAAATGCATCGACAACGCATGCCACATGCCACACAAACTCGTCTTTAAGCATGCTGATGATTGGTCCGAATGGCCTCCTTATTATAACTTCCTAGTCTCGCATCGAAGCCAATCCTTGGCGATACTCGGGTCTCTTCACTCATATCTGTTTTTCCCTCTCGCACTGGCTCTGTGAATCTACCAATCATCCCCTGAATGCGTACTCGCCTTGCCATGGCTTCTCTTACGGCCACTTCTGCCATCAGTTCTTTCATACCCATCATCTGCGCCTGGCTTGTACTCCTCCGGTTGGAAGTTCGGGTTGTTGAAGTGAGCGGTATTAAAGTGTGAGTTTCTGAAGGTGTTAGTCTGAAAGGTTGGCTCCTGCCAAGGCGTGCTAGGTTCAGTTGCCTCAAAGTTTCCAAAATTCCAGGGGCTGAAACGGATTGTGTGAGTTGTAGGTGTAGTGGTGGACTGCTGCTGTGACGGCGGAGGTGGAGCTGGTTGGTGTTGGCGCGGTGGAGGAGGTGTCGGATCCGTGTAAGGCTGTGAAAACCAAGGTGATGTTGGGCTTGGAGTGTAATCGAGAGGAGATCCGCCTGACAGGGCCAACGACGACAATCCATTGGTTGTGGTACCAAATCCGGGAAGCATAGCAAGGGGGCTCAGGTCCACGGATGGATAAGTATCTAGGCCCCCAGTACTCATTCCGTGCCTCTGGGAAAAAGAGACACGATTCACCTGTATATCAACAGACGACAGTGGGCGGCGATAAAGGATATCGTAGTGATCAGGACGGAAGAGAAGGTAGATCATCGGTCCCAAAGTCATAGGATCTTGATTGTTCGCCTCTTCGGGAAATCGATAGGTGTTGACTTGGCTACCAGGGCTGCGATCTAGGTAGGCGATCTCAAGGACGAATCCCACCGGCTTCAACAAGATGTTCACAAGAGACACAATTCCCAAGTGCTCGATCTCGCGGTCAACGCGTTCAAGCACATCGTTGCAGTATGGCTGAATACCACCTTCGGCCGCCGTGAAAGCCTCGTAAGTCTCAGCGTTTTCTCTCAACCAAGAAGCTGCAAGTAGCCGCAGGTGGTATATGATCGAGTTTGCCGAATTTGGGTCATTGAACTTATTTGTGAGGATACTCATGGCTGTCAGAGGATCCACCATGTTGGCGGCAATATCACCCAGAAGTTCTATAGTCTCTTCTGACATGGGCTCGTATACCATATCATCATAGCCTCCAACTGAACTGAGATATTGGTTCAATGCTGTGAGCCGCTGTAGCTCGCTCTGCACGAGGGCTACATCGCCCTGCTGGATGAGAGTTTCGAAGTAGCCATAGCCAATCGCTGTGATGAGTGTGTCAGCGTATCTTCAATAACCAGCCAGAATGAGCTGAAGACGTAGTGATATCACTATGAAGCTGTGGGGTTTACGAGTGCAGCTTGGGCGAGGTGATTCCCGTCGTCACATGGCGGGGTATTTGGGTGCTCAAGACAGGGAACAACTTACCTCTCCAGCCGCAGTTGCCGTCGCCCTGGACTGGCCGATAGGAGGAATACGTCTCTGGTAGTGCCTGCAACGCGAAGGAGGATGCATTAGCAAATTTAATTCGAACATGCGGATCGCAAGGCTTAGATGAACAGGAACAGTAGCAGTAGCAGTAACTTACAATTGTTTTTGCAACGTAGACCTGGTCCGCCTTCGCATACTCCTCAGTGATGACATGGCTAGGCATCTTCTCGCCAATGAGAGGACCCTAGTGAGCTGAGCGTCAGCGCGAGTAGAAGCTTGGAGAAGCGTGTCTTGGTGTGGACTTGACACGAGGATGGAGTTTCTTTTTCACTCACCTGAAGCTTTGGCCGATACTCCCGCGCAGCAGCTTCCTGTGCAGCCAGGTCGTCCTGTGTGTTTGGCTCCATCTTGACTGCTGAATGCGGGGAATGTTGGTTGGAGGTATCGAAGAGTGATGAGGAACCAGAAGACAAGCCGCTGTTGCTGAAGGCTGGCGTGGTGAAAATCAGCGGCCCACTTGCCCCTCCGACCGAAGGCCCACTGCCCAACGGCGGCGCCTGCTCGTGGTAGCTGTAATCCGGAATGTCTTCTCGCACCCCATAAGCTGCGAATGCAAATGGCGTTGGCTGAGGCTGAAACATGCCTGTGAACTCAGGGCAGGGACGGGGATAGAGGAGATGGAACAAGGAGGCAAAAACAAGGGCACCCGTGAGCGAGATTTCTTATACGCAATTGGGCCGCATGACCCCAGCAAGCTGTCCAAATCCTCAAGTCAGCAAACAGAGCAGTGGGAATCAGGCCAGCCAGCTCAGTCGGTCCGGCAATGCACGGGTAAAGGTGAGAGATGCTCGGTAAGTCAGTCAGGTGGGTACGGAAACAACACGCAAAACGTACAACAAAAGGACTTGTCTATGAACGGGGAGCTCTTCTATCGCCACAGCACGTCTATGAGTTAGCTGTGCGAGGTAGAACGGCCAGCCAGGTGTCTGCTGCACGATCCGCAGCCGGAATCTTTGATCCGGCAGTACACGGCTCTGGAGGAAGTCACAGAGGCTTTGACTTAACAAAAACAAAAACTGATAGATTCAAGACAGCCTCTCACAGACAGAAGACATACAAACAGACAGATGACAGACAAGCAGACAACAGCGAGCGAAACCCAGTACCCACAGTCGATGCCAGCTGGCCGAAGCGCAGTGATGTGTGTGTGTGTGCGTGTGCGTGTGCGTGTATGTGTTACGAAGGGGAGGAAGGAGAGAAAGAGGCAAGCAGAGTCGCGGGGACTGAAGAGAGGAATGATGAGGAAGAAGAGGAGAGCAGTCTTTGCAAGCAAACGCAATCCAGGACAATCTGGGAGACGGCCTCTCTTTGACTGGTTGGTGGTGTGCCGTTGCCCAACAGCTTGCCCGTTAGCCGTGCTATGCAGAGCAAAGCAGAGAGCGTGTGCGGAAGAGGGAGGATGGTGAGGAGGACGAGGACGAGGAGACGGGTGGGGGAAATGAGGGTCGACAGGTGTGGTGCACCTAAACAGCACAGCACAATCTAGCCTAACCCAAAGGTTACCACCTTGAACCTGACTTATAGAGGATCACAACCACTATTGACCCAGGGTGGATGCTGGGCGAAGACGCACTGGCCCGCGGCGGGAGCAGGGAGCAGGGAGGAAGACCAGCGGATGCGAGGCCAGACCAGACCAGATCATGACCAGTGCCAGCACACCAGTGGATCTCACAAGCAAGGCATTGAATGGCCGTGTACTGATATGCATACGTACAGTACATGAATCCCATACCTAGCATGTAGACACTCTCCTGTACGCCGCTTGCAGCACTGCACTGTACCGTCACTTACCTAGTCTACAGGACGTAATGTACGCTAGACGACAGGCCTCTACACGGGTTGGCTGGCTGCCGGGGTCGCCCTCGTTTGTTTTAGCTCCGTAGCAGTCTTGGCTGGGGCATTTCCTGCACGATCTGCTGGGGAAATCGTCCGTGGGTGCGATTCGGCCCTTGACGGTCTGTAAGACGGTGCAAGGACGGGGTACAGCGGGCAGCCAGTGGGAAGAGGCCGATGGCCAGATTCAATGGCAAGGGCCGGCCCTTGAACTTGCATTAACCAGACCAGGCCAGGACAGGACAGGCGGTTCTCCTTCAGTGGAGGAATGCTGGATGGCCAGTGCTCAACCTGGATTTTGAGTTGAAGATTGACAGAAGCTAGACAAGGATGCCGCTGTTGGCCTAAACGCTTTCTCCGGTGCGCCTCATACGAGCGTTTTAGGCGCTACATTCGTGGTTTGCGTGCCTGATCTTTGTCTCAGTCGTCACCGGCCAGTGCCTTGATGATTCGCAATTGAGTAATGCCAGTAGGATATACTGGCACACAGGCACACGGAGACCGCACGGGCTTCGACAGCCTTCCCAACCTGTCAGTGATTGATGTCGATCGATCGGGGAATGTCTCATTCCGTTGGCCAGCCAGGTAAAGGTCGTGCTTGGACGATCCTAGGTAAAGCCTTTAAATATTGCCTGTGCCTGGGTGATGTATGTAACCACAGGGCACAGCTCTGGTGGTAAATTTGGCTGCGCTTCCCGTGTTTCGACCCTCGCTTTGTGGGAAAGGGTACTTTAAATTATATTAAGGCGTAGTATTTGCTGTGTTCCTCAATTGGTCGGCCATAGGTGTCGCAGCACGTCAGGCTGGCCGAATCCCAGATTCTACGTCGGGAGCTCAAGCCAGGCCGGTCTGGAAGGCAGACTGTTGGAGGACGAAGAATTGCAGTTGATCAGATGTTGTTGCCCCGCCTGACCGATGTAGCGTTTGATTTCAGACTCCATGCTAAGTCAAGTTTTTCGGCAACGCCAACCGTCGATCTGGGAAGGGGTTTCCTCTGGAGCCAGGGCAGGGAAGCTGAAGTCATCAAGCATGACAAGCAACAGAAGAGCAAACACGGAGCCCGAAAGGCGACATGTATGGACATGAGGTGCGTTCATTGATGGATGGCAGCAGTGGCCACTATGTGGGAGGGCCTGAAGCCTAGCATTGATATGTCTGTCTGGCTCCATGCACCTCGCATGTCTGAGTGCTGTTATCGGTTCTCTACGTCGAACTTCAGCGCGAACCTAGGGTCTCTGAGCAGATGCGAAGTCTGGGCATTGCGATGTACGGACGGGGATTAAAAATATGTCAATTGACAAACTAAGAGCTGTAAAAAACCCTTTCTGTCAGGAAATTGTGTAAATTGTGATACCTTTGGCTTACATCTATTATGTATTGCCAGACCCAAGCGCCGATGCACATTGTGCGTCCGAGAAAGCCTCCTGCCAACGGGACCCCTGGCGGTTGTGCTCGCATGTCGGTGTGATCTGCATGGGACCAGGGAAGCTGACAGGGTGGATGCAACCCATTTAGGTCCTAGAGCTCCGTCGATCCTCCACAGGAAGGCATCTGAGGGTCGTCGGGTAGTGGTACGACCTGTACCATACATGCTCGTGATTACTTGTCAAGATCGATGAAGAAGAAAGAAAAAGAAAGATTTAACGCAAGAGAGGATTCCGTGGCTGTAATCGCCAAGCATATCGTTAAGGTAACCCGAGCTAGCATTTTAATGTTGGTACGTTCCAAACTTGGAGCAAGTCAGTCTTCCCATTCGAACGGCAGGAACAGAGGTGTAGGGTAAGTAAACATCAAGCCGTACCTGCCGTAGCTAGGGCACACAAATGCCCGTCCTATTAAACCTCTCTGTTCAGTCACTTCCAGTCTGTCTTCTCCTTCTAATTTCATGAATCAAGAAGGTCCAACCTTAGAAGCGTCATCGTGACGAGGTGCGATGCTTAGGGCCTGTATGTACTATGCAGTACGTATTACTAGCACATCCTGCCAAGGCCGTCGGCTCTTCAGCTTCTGGGCAGGGAATCCCTGATAACTGCGCCTGGAGAGGCAGCTGCGATCAATAGAAAGCCAACCTGTTATGTGACAACAACAAGAACGCAATGCGAATTGGTCTTCCCTTATTCTAGTGTACCTCACTGTACTCGGGTTCACCTCCGCTCATCTATGATCCACCATCCCAGGTTGTCTCTGATAAAAAGGGGCAATAAGATACAAAATCTCCTTCAATTGGAAAACCGACATGCCTACTTGGTATATGAGCTTCTCAATGTCTCACAATTCGGCATGTCTCTGGTGCAAAGCAAAGCAAGGCCAAGTTGGGTTTAGAAACTGGTATTTTTGGAGGCCTATGTTTCTAAGGCAGGCAGTGGCACTTGACCTGTCACGTTTAGCGACCACCTCAGCCTTTGAGCAACGTATTTTCACATCTCACAGCACCTTGTCATTCGATGACTACCGCCATGAACGTATCATCATGAGGATACTAAATGCTGTTCATGTGGCCAGTAGCTCAGCCAAGCTACCAATCCGCTTGCTGCGTTCATGCCTCTCGCTGCTGTCCTCTAGAAATGCAGCTCGGGAGGGATCAATGAAAATTTGTGCCATCATCGAGGAGCTGGAGGAGCCCGAGATGGCATAACACCTGAACCTGTCGTTGGGTAAGCCGCGTGGGCAGTCGTGGGGAAGCTCCACGAGCAGCAGACCATTTTCAACGAGCCGATTCACCCAGGTGGACCAAGGTCGCATCTGATCCACCGCTAACATGATTAGTTTGACGGCATTAATTCAGCCATCACGACACACGACACAGCTACTGCGCAGCAGGTGCGCCACATGTTTGACGAGCTCTACTCTACCTCACTTAGTCTGCTCTCCTAAGCAGCTCATCCTCCAAACGGTGGAAGCAATGCCATAACGTTATCGCCTGGCAACCCTTTACCGACTTACCCGGCAAATCGAAGGAAAGCCAATTACGCTTGGAGACGAGCGGACCCAAGTAATACAGCACCGGCAGCGATGGGTGGAAGGAAGCTTTTACTCGGATCATGCAACCTCAGAGAGATCCTATGCAGTAGGTCGGAGATGTTGAAGAAACACAGCGGCAAGAACGGCCGTCGCATAACTGAACCTGCGTCATGATGTCTGCAACTGGCCGTCGTGCATGCCCATCCGACTCTCTATGGCTTTGGTTCCCCCGTCATTTGAGCGACCTATAATGCAGTCGTTGTCTCCGTTGAGCCCAACATCATCCATCATTCATCAGGACACGGATATCACGCTCAAGGGAAAAGCCAATTGACAAGGATGCTCCTAGCAGATACTTGAGTAGTCATGGCACTGGCCTTTTGGACTAGGCAAGATCTAAGAAAGTCCAGCGAACACCTGCTCCGTCCGATGATTAGCCGTCGCAAGAAGTGCATCTAGACAGCATAGTGCTGTGATATCTAGACGTGGGGACGTGATCGACTGAAACACCTCCATCTCAGGCAGCCACACCCACCTGACGCACCATTATTCCAAGAAAACATAGAAGACAGAGGTAGTTGGACGCCGGCATTGATCCTCTCATCCCGCACCCCTCTCCATCGACATGCCTACGCGACTACTCGAGATAAGCGTCGTCAAGATGAATGGAACTTGATGAAGGATAGCGCTCCACCCGCCCCAGTATGCTACTGCATTGTAGAAGTCAATCCCGGCTATATCTCACCCAGTTAAGACGGGGCGAGAGAAGCAGGTCCAGGACACCGGGCTATGAACATGTTGTCGAGACCAGCCCAATCATCCTCGCGACCTTCCGCCCCCGCAACCACCCAATCACGACTGCATGGAATCAAGACGCCCTAGGAATGGCCCTCGATTTCAACCTCGACTTCGATTTGCCAAGATAGAGGGAGCAACATTAGCTCCTGCAGTCGACTGCATCCTAAAGAATCTTCCTCGTGCCCTCCACAGCCAGATAGACGGGAGAGACACAAGCAAGACGATGCAGTCAAACAGGACGCCAGCCATTCGAGAGCCTTCTTATCCGCATGCCACCAACTATACCTGCACTGCGACAGTACAGTACGTAGGTATTCCCCACAACTCTAATCGCATTACCCCCCCGCCCTCATCATGTTAGGTTCCAACCAGGCTTCCCGCCCGTAGTAGTAGAGTAGCTTCAACAGCGCATCCCGTGCCGTGTGCCTCGCCGCCGTCTATCCAATGGCTGCAAGCAATTTCTCAACCACAGGCACCTGGGCAATGCGAATACTGGCGATGCGCGACCCAATTCACCTACTGCAAACTACAGCATCGCTTCCATGCGCCTTCTCTATGACGGTAAATACCGTCCGATCTCAAGAAACTCCCCGTCACCCGGCAATGTAACCTTCCACCTTCCAGCCCCTAAGGTCGTCACTTGATTGTGTCGTGCAGTATTCAACGGAACCCCTATCTGGTAATATTCATCGAGTGTACTCTAATCTGGCCGAGCATTCATGTTCCTAGCCTCGTATCATACAAATCTTTTCATGGCATGCCTACCTTCTATCTGTCAGCATTAAATCGCCGAGACACGGATACAATATTGGCTGCGTTCCCGGACCCCAATAGCCCCCATCATGCAGCTAGGGCACGATCACGACAAACTCCCTCTCGGATGGCGAATAGCAGTTGCCTCGATGCTGGCACCCTCACTCATCATTGCCATCCTTCACAGACTTTGGCTTACAATCCATTCCTCGGCCGAATCATTTTTCAACCCGCCATGATACATCCCGCAGGCTGCATATGTACATGGTTCCTATCCGCTCTCATGCCATCGATTCGGGTGGCTATTTGCGTCATGGGCGCCTTCCTCACAGCAGAGCTGAGATATACATGTATGAACCCGTGTGAGTTTGGAGAGGTAACAGGATAGCAATCTACACCAAGGCGTTTGGCACGAACCAAGGAACGAGCGTGCATGTCTCACTCCAGCTACCTCGGATCACGCATGGTATCAGGTCACTGCAAGTGCGGGCTGGCTCGGAGCATAAATTGTCCTATGCACTCCAATGAGCGCAAGCAATCACCAAAGCATCCTGTGCATTCTTCAGCCAGCAGACTGGGAAGCTACTTGGCAACGACCATCCCAAGCTCGCAGGTTGGTCCCCAGCCATGCGACCATGCATCGCCATCCCGCAGTCATCCTAGAGGGCTAATTGGCCCGAGGCACGTTCAAGCTGCTTCCGGCCCGTAGGCATCCCGGCTGAGTGGCCGGCGGCCGCGACATCCTTGCTTTCCTCTTTCAAGCTTCTGTGTTGGCTAGCCTATCATTGTTTTGATCTGCTAAGCCAGGCAGCTACAACAGCCTTACTTGGCCATCTTCCATGACTTAATGGAACATGCGAGTATATTTGGCATAGATGAATCATCTAGAGGATCAAGCTGCAGATAGCAGGAAAGAGGGCAGCGCTGGCCAAGTCTAGATGGCAGACAGCTGAACTTGGCCTGTCCCCCTGGTATATTTTGCTTTACTTAACAAGGGCGACAACAGGGACAAGCACCGTTCTCCGAATTCCTGGTTTGAATATCATGCTTGACAAGCAAGATTTCCCTGCTACCACTGGGTCTCATGCTGATCTCATGGCTTTCTTGCTGAAGCAAGTGGGTAGATTATTTGCATTACCGGAAAGCACATATTTGAGCTTTACACATACCTACAAGCGATTGACGTCCTCGCGATCTTCCCGCCATCGATGCCTTGAATATACGAGTATCTAGGCAGGAGAATCCCCTAGGCCAACAAGATAACTAGAACAAAACGACAATTCTAACCGGCCTATTGCAGAACAAGAGTAGAATCAAGATCTTCTGGTCTTGTCTAAAAGTCACCCGCATGTAGTCCTTGACTCCTGAGGACTTGAATGCCCTTATAGTTTGTCATTTGGGATTTAGTCTCCGTCAACAAAATATACAAAGTTTTGTTGTGTTTGAACATCAAGCATATGTTGCCAGACCGACCCCTAAGGTTGAGGAAACCACTGCGGGACATGAATCAGGCAAGGTTCGGCATTTGCGCCATCCTGCTCTAATGTGCCACAGTAGTCCCTTTCGATCAGCGACAACTGCCTGTCACGAGGGCACTGACCGGTGGGAGTACGCACGACACTGCCTAACCGACCGGGCGGGCGGACGGATAGGGCGCCTCCTGGTCCACTATCTGAGAGCGCTGTCGAAGAATGTGATATCGTATGTCTCGGGACCTCTCCTACCTCTCCCACCCATGTCGGTCTCGTTACACGGCATCAGATAAGGTGCTACAAGAGGCCCGCAGGAAAGAGGACAGTGCAGTGCATGATGGCGCCCTGTGGTCTCATGGTTGTCCCGCAGATGGGGAAGAGCAGGAGGTCTGGATCATCCGGGATGGCGACCGATCTCGGGGGAGATCCAATTGTTTAGATTGAGGTAGCCGTACCGGTGAAAGGCCGAGGTGATACAGAAGTGCCTGATGCTCTGGCCGGTTATCTCGAGTTCCGGGCCTTGGGTGACGTGATATGTTCTTAATGATATATCATAGCCTTTGGGAAAGGCGATGGGCATCTGCGATTTATAACAAATCGTACTCGTATCCAAACTCAAAGATTTGTGCAACGTAGTTCTCGAATTCATCATACTGTTCTGCACAGCCGATGGCAGCTCTTCGTCTCGCTTATAGTTCGCCATCTGCCGGGACAATTCGCTCCCCGGGAGTTCGTCCGCGTATCACAGGCAATTCGTTCCCAAAACAGTTTATCACATTTGAACCTCGTATAGTACCTGGATCAGCACATTTTCTGACCGCTTAAAAGAGCAACGTTTGCATAATATCGTCACATTCTCATACGCGTGTTAGGTTCGTAGACCTACAGTTCTATACTGTCTTGTTCCTGTAGTGAGACCCCAACGCCATGTCCTCAGACACATGAAGCAACAATTCATCTAGCTCTAGCGTGCTTGATCTGATCCTTACGAAAAAACGATGCCGGACATCATGCCCTTCGTACCTCTCCTGCCCGCTCTGCCCGTAGTCCGTGCTGTTCTGCCGGGGAGTCCGCCCATATCCATGCCAAGATCCAGACTGGAGTCACCTCCTGCGGCCTGCCCGTCATTGGATCTGAAGCCGTCGCCATCTTTGAATATAGCGGTGTACAAACCTGTCAGCGCGTCGGCGAGGCCCTGGATGGCTTGGATGCGGTCAGCATCGGCGTGGCTGTCGATGACGAGGGTGCCTGCCTGCTGGTCGATCTTGCCCATGATCTTGCCATCGACGATCAGGAAGCCGAGAATGTCCTGGACCTCGGGCTCGCCGATACGCAGCTGCTTGGCGATCCAGGCAATGCGCATGCGCGTGTAGGGGGCGATGAGCTTCAGCACGGCCTTGGTGCGCATGTTGCGTGTCACCTCGTCGATGTTCTCGGCAATAAAGGGGTCAGCTAGCAGATCTGTGTTCTTCTGCAGTACGTCTTCGTACTTGTGTATGTCGTCGCGCTGGTACGCATCTACCAGGTCCGTCATGGCAGCAATCCGCGGATCATTCCTGTAAGGCTTCGTCTCCTGACTGTCAAAGGGGTTGATGTCTGACTTCATGAGCATTGTGGTCAGCAGCAGGTAGCGCAGCACCTGGATTCGCTGCAGACTGCCAGCCTCGTCGTAGTTTCGGAATGACTCGAAGAAGTCTGACTGCGCCTCCGCCCAGTTCTCCTCACTCATGTGCATCTTGCCGCCGCACTCTCGAATGATACCCATGATCTTGGGATGCGGTACGGCGGAGCGTACCTTAAGTGCTCGCTGGTACAGCCGCTTGAGTTGCTTGTTGTTCTTCGTCTCGGCGTACATCTGGATCTCTAGCGCGTAGATCTCGAGACTGTAGGTGCCTTTGGAGGGGTCGTCGGTGCCATCCTCTCTCTGGCAGGATCGGTGGAGCTCCTTAAGCTTCTTAGACACCGCCTGGTAGTCCTTGCGGTCCAGCAGTAGCTTTGCGAGCTTGATGTTCGTTTTGAGCCACAGTCGCTCGTTGTTGGTGGATTGGAAGCATTGCAGAGTAAGCGAGTAGAACTGCTCCATGCACTTGACAGCTCCAGCGTCATCGGATCCCTTCTCAATGTAGTCCAGCATGTTGTTAATAGACTTCTCCGAGTAGTTTCGCGTCACCGCGGACTTGACGTATGTGAGGAGCTCAGCATAGTGCTCGATCGCCTGGTGATCCATCAGCTCTGATTGCAGATGACAAGTTCAAGACTTGTTCTGACCTTATCGTATCTCTGTAGCTTGAACTCAAGCTTTATCGCTTGCTTCAGACCTTTAAATCCCCAATCACCTTTGTCTTGCTCGAGCGGCGGGACGCCCAAAAACTCTTCGATCGCCTCTTCGGGCTCGGTGAGCTTCAGCTGTTTGGCGTTGTAATATTTGTTTTCGATGTCGACCTCGCCGGAATCCTGCTCGTCATCGTCATCCTCGTACTCAAAGTCGTACTCCTCCTCATCAGAGGCCTGCATGAAATCGTCGTCCGACATCTTCGCAGCGTTTGAGCCCTCGAGGCAGCTTGAACGTCGGTGTGATCTCGTTGTTGATGCGGGGTTGTTACGAGGATGGAAGATTGAGGGTGCAGTTGGGCGTGAGAGAGCTAACCGTGAGGTCCTGAATACTGAACGAAACACTATAAATGGCCCTTATCGATTGGCTGAGTTCGAGCTTCTAGCGGGGTGAGATCGCAATTTGGCGGGGAATTTTTAGGGGCTGACCAGGTGAGGCTCCCCAGCCGCCTCTTAGGCTGCAACGCACGGACCACTTCAATGTCATTAGAGTGCTGGATCCCTCAAAATATCCTTTGCCACTTGCACAAGTCAATCCTCACAACCTCCATCCACCAAACTCCAACGCACAGGCGCCGCCAAAACTCGACAATATGGGTGGCACGGATTTGAACTTGAAGAAATCATGGCATCCCAAGATTCTCGCCAACCAGCGGCGCGTGCACGATGCCGAAGTCTCAGCCTTGGAGGAGCGGAAAAAGACCGAGGCGCGGCTACAAGAGATCAAGGCAGAGCGTGCGCAAGAGGAGATCCAGAGGCAGCTTGAAGCCGCCGGCGGAAAGAAGCGCATCGATCGTGTCGACTGGATGTACCAGGGGCCGACCGATGGCCAGGTTGGCGATGCGTACGGGAACGAGGCGTACCTGTTAGGCAAGCGTAGGATCGACAATATCATTCGTGGTGACGAGACGAAGAATTTACAGAAGCAACCTGGACCGGACGGTTTGGCGCCTGTTCAGAATGTGCTATCGACACGAGACACGGCTACAAAGATTAGGGAAGATCCGCTGCTCGCCATCAAGAAGCAGGAGCAGAGTGCATACGAAGCGCTTCTTAACGACCCTATTAAGAGACGACAACTGTTGGCGTCTATGGGTATCGCAGATGAGAAATCGAAATCAAAGAGCAAAGAGGAGCGCAGACACAAGCATCGACATCATCATCATCGCCGCAGGCATCACGACGACGACTCTGACCACGAGAGGCGTCACAAGCGGCGACGATCAGATTCCCGAGAAAGGTCACGTAGCGGGCGGCGGTATGACTCAGAGGACGAGGACAGAGAGAGGAAACGAAGGCGTAGCTCTACCGAGAGACGTCGGGCCGACTCGGAAGAGGAGGAACAAGACTCATACGATCGACGAGGCCGGAGGGACGAAAAAAGAGAGAGTCGGCGGGATCGATCTAGATCGCCCCGTCGTGATCGCGATGTACCAGCCGAGGATACTCGGGATCGTCGTCGAGATCGAGAAGATGGCCGACGGAGGCCACCGTATGAATCAGAGCCAAGCGAGGACGAAGCGCCAAGAAGACGAGACGACTATCGAGACAGTCGTGATGATCGCCGGGATAATTATCGGAAGGAATATCAAGATGGTACCAACGGCGATTCGCGCCGCCGTTATAACGGGTATAGGAACGGGAATGGCCGACCTCCCTACAGCAACGGCTCACGGAATGGCTCGGATAGTAAGAATGACGAGGAAGAACGAGCACGAAAGCTTGCGGCTATGCAGGATGCAGCTTCCAATCTCGATGAAGCCCGTGAGAGCCGTCTAGCTGCTCTGGCAGCTAAGGAGAGAGCTGAGCGTGATGCAGATGATCGTGCTCGGGAGAAGGCTTCCAAATATGGCGACGATCGGGCTTTTGCGAAGAATTTGCACCGCTCAGTAGGAGAGAAAAGCCTTGCGGATCGAGTGGGCAGAGGTCGTCAAAACTTGCAAAGAGATGATGATTGAGATAATGTCCTTCAGTATTGGGACCTGTCAGTTGGGTTCTCCTTACTCATCATTATCGGCTACACCCTCGAAGTCCAATAGATGCCGTACAATCATTGCTCGGTGTCTTCTGTTTTGGGTTGGATGGGCGCATAGATTCTGGTATGTTGATTATAGCGAAATACAAGCATAGGCATCTCATGCTGACCTATGGAATCGAGGTCCAGTCATGTGCATGTACCCCATGAAATCTACTTTGGTCGACATAGATTCTATCGTAGTGAATGGAACTTCACTTCGCTCAGCCATCAATGAAGAACCTTACAATGGATGAAGATACACGAGCACTCCCTCTTTCCACAGAGCAAGACCAATGCTCTCTTGACCGGGTCAAGAGACCTGCGACTTGAGGCATAAAGCATAGCTAGTTGAGAATGAAAGCGACATTAACAACAAACCAATCCTTTGACCCTCAATAGAGATACAGTGAGCCTAAACAATGCTTCTCAGTTTAGAAATATATTTCCCAAAATGGTAGGAGAATTGAACAGCCAATGAAATTGGATTTTGTCAACTCTTATCCACTGTGGCCTCAATCACCTACTTAACTTACGGCCTAATTTCTGATCCAGTCCCAGTATAGCCATATAGAACAACCTGTAGACTGAACAATATTCAATATTGCCGATAATTACAGCCGTCATGAACCTCTGCAGTAACTGTGAGAGACTAGACATTCGACAACTTCCTCCGACGAAACATCCTGAAGTCAAAGGCTTCCAGCTCGCAACACTGCGGCAGATCTGTGAAGCCGCAGGCGAGTGTCATTTGTGTCAACTATTGAAGAATCATCTCTTGACAGGCCAAGGTTTCAAGAAATACGTGACTGCCGAGGGGCCCGTTGAAGAGTACGCTGATCTGGTCCTTGTCCTGAGGAGACCGCCGAAGGACGGTTTTACAACGGAGCATGGCGCACGCCTGTCAGGTTTCGACGCAAGCCTAGGCCCGAGGGAGTTCACGTTCAAGGTTCATTTATACGCACCGAGAGGTACGCGAGACGGCGCCTGAGCTCAAAAGTCCATGACTTACAAACAGTTAGGTAGCCCAGCGGCCATCTCGGGGGATGTTGTGGAGAAGGAGATTTGCGTACCGGCAGATCCAAATTCACTGGCACCAGTTGACCTGGTTCGACGATGGCTGGAAAACTGCACCTCCAAACACACAACATGTCAGCGGTCGTTTGTTGGAGACTATGTAGAGGGCCAAGCGGACGGCATAGCTCCTCAAAGACTGCTACATATCACATCCACACCTGAGTCATCGGTACCAATCGTCAGGCTAGTCGATGCTGGTGGCCGCTTCCAATCACCATACGTCGCTTTGAGCCATTGCTGGGGCACTCCCGGGAAAAGGCCGATATGCACCGTCAAGGAGAACATCGAGATACACAAAGCCCAAGTGCCGTGGTCAAGGTTATCCCAAACCTTCAAGGATGCGTGCACGTTATGTTTCGGTCTTGGGATACACTACCTCTGGATCGACTCTCTTTGTATTGTGCAAGACGACCCGGCTGATTGGAAACAAGAAGCCTCGATCATGGGCAGAGTCTATGAGGAAGCCACGTTCACTATCGCTGCCTCGTCCGCGGCCGACTCTAGCCAGGGACTATTTGGCGTCAGAGCTGCGAACATGTTTGCGGAGTTACCGTATCACCAGGACCAAATGGAGAAGAAAGGCAGCATATACGCATACATGCCTCTAGGTTCGCCTGGTCTGACGATCGAGAGATCGCCACTCAATGAACGAGCTTGGGTTCTACAGGAGTATGTGCTGTCTCGAAGAACTGCTCACTTCACCAAGCAGGGAGTCATCTGGTCGTGTGGTCGAGACCCGGCAGCTACACGAGACGAATTTGACGGCGGCGGATCACACGTAGTCCCGAACACATGGGTTGCCATGATAAGAGACTATTCGAAACGCAAGCTGACCTTCAAGACCGACAAGCTCGTTGCAATCCAAGGCTTGGCTAGTTCGTGGAGTCGCCGATATGGAAAGACATACTACAACGGGGTCTTTCTCGAGGACATGCCACATTGTCTCCGCTGGTGCTGGAGTGGCATGACGGATGAACGCCTCGTCCGCGACGTTGGCAATGATATCCCGAGCTGGAGCTGGGCATCCACGACGGGTAGTGTGGACTTTGATACCCCTGAAGGATCCGTCTCGTCAACTCCCGTGTATAAGGATATTAGACCTTCAGATGTTGTTGTTGGAGGTTTGACCTTCAAAGCAGCAATCAAGGAGGTGACATCTTTCAAGGGTTCCTTCGACTGTCTACCTACAACTCGGTATGAGTCTTTACGAGCTGTTGATTGCGACTCAGCATCGCAGCCTGGTCCGAGGAGCTGGTGCAACCATTCGAACCACGTTGAAATGTACTACTTGCTCCTTGATGCGTCGGAGCAGAACATCGGCTGGGGCTTATTTGACGAGACGCCGCCTGCTTCTGGATCTATATACTGCTTGCCTCTTGTCAAAGAGTCTATGCGGAAATGGTACGAACCCCCTGGTGATACGAGCGAGCCGTTCTATCTATGGTCTCTACTTTTGCAACGCACTCAAGAGGTTAATGTATATAAACGAGTTGGCTATGGTGGAGTTTGTCCTCCGTCCTGGGTAGAAGACGAGAGACCAAAAGTCATTCACCTTGCTTGAAAGAAGTCGTCAGAAGAAGCGTTGCGGACACGGAATCATTCCTCCAGGCCAGGGAAACAAGAGATCAGCTAAACTTGGGCAATGTATCAACGCACTACTACGCAAATCAGTTTCGTAAGTAAGCCAAGCCAAGCCAGCGGAATGGATTGGTACTGTGGTAAGCTGCAGGCTTTGCTGTGCGGTCGATCAGCCGAGCCACGGTTTACGTGATGCGCAGGCGCACAGCTTATAGAGTGCTTGCATTGAGCAATGTAACCCACGAGCTGCCGGTCTCTCGGAGCTTTAGAGCAGGCTTGCATCACTGACAAAAAGATTTGTCCTGTCGTCATTGGCTTCCGCGTCCATGGGCTTCCTGTTTGAGAGGATCAGCGGCCATCCTCCCGCTAAGTGAGGGATGAAGATCGTACTTGATCTGGGCCGCTAGAAGGAGATCGGCCCAAGCTAGAAGTTCGCACTATGAGACTGGCAGACTAGGAATCTATCAAATTCTAGCCAGGCACGATTGATGGCGACCTTGGCCCTGTTGCTCTAGGTGGCCCGTTGAATAATTCCAAGGTTTTTCTCCCTAAGAGCCTGAGCTTCCGGCTGCCGTACCAGCCAAAGCACCGCGGGCAAGAGACGCAGTGGATAGTCTCACAGACAGGCCAAAAGTCTACTTGACTTAGCTGGGAATACGTAAGCTTGGTGAGAGGGCTGACGACGTTTGGTGGAGCGGGTAGGTAGAATATCCATCTTTTGCTTTGTGGTTTTGGTCAGGCTGGCGGGAGGCGAAGAGCCCCCTCAGCCGCAATCCTCCCTCATTCATGATCGCCACCCTCCTTGAGAGGTAGACTGGAGTCTGGAGTCTGGAGTCTGGAGATGCATTCGAGAACAATATAGCCGCTTTACTGGATCCTTAGCAGAGGCAATGCCTTACCCATGGCCGACGGAACTGACTGCATTCTGGCCCCGGCATCCTTCACTACTGCGTCCTAAATCAATAATGCCTGCAATGCCCCCCTCTTGGCTCCCCCGGCCTGCAGGGCTCCAGGTCGTGTTATCGGCAGCGATAGCGTTGAGGTGCCCCACAGAGCGGCCAAAATTAGCGTTATCCAGCGTATTGCATGTGCCGAATGACTGGCCCCAGGTGGCCCCAGGTGGCCTGTGAGCGCCCAGGTTCTTTAAGTTGCCCGAGTTGGTGCTGGGGGGTTCTCCGCTGGCCAGCTGGGCGATTCGCTGCTGGGTGGGAGTGTGGATGTCATTTCAGCGCTGGCCAATTTGGCTTTTAAATGTCCCATCCATGTGCATTTGCCATCTTCGAGGTACCTTCCTCCGCTAAGCCTCTAAACCACCCAGGGATCCCCCCCATCACTCTGTCTTTCTGTCGCTGTCTCTTGTTTTTGTTCAGTACCAAACGTCATCCCACTCTCTACCCTTTGATCACCTTTCTGTAAAGGACACACTCTCTTTTGAATTGAATTACTGACTTCTCTCTGCTTTCGATTCATCTCATTGACGACCTGTGTGCATTTCGGCACTTCGATCGCTCTTCCCCCTTGCCTGTCCCCTGTTACACGGCTGCTGCTGCTGCGCGCTTCCCTAACCGAGGACGGTCAATTTCCCTTGTGATCCACATCACCAACTTGCGTCGCGAACCCGACGATCGGCAGCACCCGCATACCATACCATTACCTCACCCAAAAATCACCGACAAAAACACACACATACACACACCAATACACCATTCACAAACAACAGCCACGAGCAATAGCAACGCGATGGCACCCCTTTGTGGAGGATCAAAGACTGTCCAGCGAAAGCTAGTCTTGCTGTGAGAATGCCTCCTTCACCAAGGGAATTCCAATTGCAACAAGGGAGGAGTTACTAATCATAATTGTGAAATCAGGGGAGACGGTGCCTGTGGCAAGACCTCGCTGCTGAATGTCTTCACGAGAGGGTGAGCGCCACCTCAAAACATATGAAAGAGCAGAATTGATTGCTAACGACCATCCACAGTTACTTCCCGACAGTCTACGAGCCCACGGTCTTCGAGAATTACGTCCACGGTACGTCTACCTTCTTGAGAGATGCATTTCGCACATGCTGCAAATGGGGATTCATCACGAGCAATCAGCTGACGCAATTGGGAACAGACATTTTCGTCGACAACGTCCACATCGAACTCTCATTATGGGATACGGCCGGCCAGGAAGAATTCGACCGCCTACGAAGCCTCTCATACGGTCCGTCTCTCCATCTTCCACCTTCTGCTGGCGCATTGACGCGTCGGAGATGATTCTAACATTCTCCACAGATGACACCGACCTCATCATGCTCTGCTACTCTGTCGACAGCAAAGATTCCCTCGAGAACGTCGAGAGCAAGTGGGTAGGCGAGATCGCGGACAACTGCCCTGGCGTCAAGCTGGTGCTCGTCGCGCTGAAATGCGATTTACGAGAGAACGCTGAGGACGAGGACGAGGCCGCCGCCGACGCCGCTGGCCAGAGGGAAAAGAAGCCCATGATCAACTACGACCAAGGCCTCGAGGTCGCGCGCCGCATCAACGCGCTGCGCTACCTCGAGTGCTCCGCTATGCGCAATCGTGGTGTCAACGAGGCTTTCACCGAAGCGGCACGCGTCGCGCTCAGCGTTAAGAAGGAGCGGGAAGACGGCAAGTGCACGATCATGTAGAGACGACGATGACGACTACCCGAAGCATGAACCGATTGCGATTCTCGAATTCACCACGACTAGATTGGGAGGCGACGACTGATGAGGGACTTCTTGTCTCGTTCGGAACCATCGAATGAAACAGAATGGTTCTTCATCACAAGCCACCTCTTCTCGCTGTCATACAACCCCGGCGTTGGCGTTCCGTGTGTCCTGTTGGTCATCTCCTCGGCGGCTCTACCTGCTCGACTTTGCCTCTACGACTAGTTTACTATGCAGGGAGAGAGAGACAGCCGCCATTCTCTGTAAATATTGAGCATACTTCTTTTTGTGCATAACGTCACCGGCATCCGACTGCTTTTTTTCCGAGGAAGGGAGTTTGTTGCGGAACTGGAAGGTCTTCTAAAAAGGTCTAGACAGAAGATTCCTCATATTTTTGCTGCTGCGGCAACGACTGATTCCCCCAAATGTCCTTTTTATTATCCTTTTTTTCCAACCCGATTCTCTTGCTTCTTGTATACAACGAGAAAAGTTTCAGGGGGTTGTGCTTCTCGTCCACAGGAGAGCGTGGGACAGACGGCCGTGTTAAGATCTTGTAATGGAAGAAAGTCAAATGTTATCATACAATGTTGTTTAAACTGCTCTCCTGTGACATTGAAGTGCTTGGCATCAAATCTGCTCCGGGGTTTTGCTCGGACCGCGGACCGCGGAGCGGATGGGTTAGTACATGCCCCACGCCATTGAGGTTCGTGAAGTCAGACAAAGAGGTTGGCAAGCTTCCAAATTGAATGGCTAACTTGCTGGGCTGGAGGATGGAATTGGCACGAGCTTGCGGTTCACCATAAACAAATGGTGAAACAAGAGAATATCATCGTAATACAAAAGTCTGGGACATTTCAGAAAAGAGGATCCAATGTGAATTCTCCATGGCTCTTCTTGCCTATATCAGGCGTTCCCCCCCCCCTTTCGACACATCGAGGAAGACGCTCGAGGCCTTCATATAAGCTTGCAGATGAACTAGCCAACGTTGAAGGAGCTTCATCCGCATGTCTTCCTGGAGAAGACCCTTGGAATGATTGGCATGCGACCAATAGCCAGGCTTTCGACAACTTCTGGTCGCCCATCACCAAGGTCGGATCACTTCTGACAAGACTGGTCCGGGGAACCGAGGAGATCTCAAAAGCCGATCAAGGCTGTTGATCGCATGTCCGGTGTCAAAAAGCAAGGAATTGAAGATCTCCGTTATCAGCGCCGCGGGGATGCCGCTCCCGACAACCATTGGAGCGATAAGCGGACGGCTCTCGGGATTGCGCAATTGGCTTGTCCAAAAAATTCAGCGCCAATTTTTTGGGCAATGACTAAAGTAGGCGCTGTGAATGGAGGCAAACGCTCTCTTGTATTAGCTGGGTGGGACTAACACTAGCGATTCCGGTAAGCTTTCCATATGTTCTGGACTAAGAGGGCGGTTTAAAAGTAAGGGTCTACTTACTTCACTTTCCTCTACTCTCTCTGTTACATGTTGTATGAACTCTCGATACTTCACTTGTCACTTCAAGGATTGTTCTATGGTGGCAGGATGCTAGTTGCATCTTCGCTTATACCAGCACATAGTGTTTTTAGCGAGTCATATAGGTGACGATGGCCTCACCCGCCAGCTTTCACACTTCTCTCCTCACAGCCACAGACTGCAGGTCTCACATACACCTGATCGTCGGCACAAATCCCCTCGCAGCAGCCCGCTGCGGTCAAAGTCTCGCCGCCGGAGCAACCCCCATTCTGATTGCGCCCGAGACGGCAGACTTGCACTATGGCCTCCAGAAGCGCATCGATGCCGGCGAGGTGACCTGGCAGAAGAAGGCCTTTGAGGACAGCGATCTCTTCGCCCTGGGCAGAGAAGACGTGGACCGTGTCGTGGACGCCGTCTTCGTCACGTCCGGGCCCCGGGACCCGCAGAGCGCGCACATATCGGCCCTCTGCAGGCGGCACCGCATCCCCGTCAACGTGGTGGACGCGCCGGCCCTGTGCTCCTTCACGCTGCTGTCCACGCACACGGACGGCCCGCTGCAGATCGGCGTCACCACCAACGGCCGCGGCTGCAAGCTGTCGAGCCGCATCCGCAGGGAGGTCGCGGCCGCGCTGCCGCAGGGCCTGGGCAGTGCGTGCGCGCGCCTCGGCGACGTCAGGCGGCGCGTCCAGGAGGAGGACCACCTGGCGCACTCGGCGCTGGCAGGGAACTCGGAGTCCCTGCTGCTCGACGACTCGGTGGACGACTCGCTCGACCAGGGCGCGGCGTTCAACAGGCTGGTCACGGAGGCGGACCTTGACGCCGCGAAGAGCCGCCGCATGCGCTGGCTTGCTCAGGTCTGCGAGTACTGGCCGCTGAAGCGGCTCGCAGCCATCAGCAACGAGGACGTCGAGAGCGTGCTCAGGTCGTACCCCGGCGGCGCGAACGTCTCCGAGCTGGGCAAGACGAGCCACCGCGGCGATCCCGCTGCTTCGAGCGCCGCGAGCCGGGGGCGCATCATCCTCGCGGGTAGCGGGCCTGGGCACCCAGACATGCTGACACAGGCGACGCACAAGGCCATCCAGAACGCGGATCTTATCCTCGCGGACAAGCTCGTGCCCTCTGGAGTGCTAGATCTCATCCCACGACGGACGCCGGTTTCTATCGCGAGAAAATTCCCCGGAAACGCAGACCAAGCGCAGGAGGAGCTCTTGGAGCAGGCGCTCGCGGGCGTCAAGGCAGGGAAGGTTGTTCTGCGCCTCAAGCAGGGCGATCCTTTCATCTATGGCCGTGGGGGCGAGGAGGTTGAATACTTCAGGCGACATGGCCTGGGAGACAAAGTCATCGTTCTGCCGGGCATTACGAGCGCACTAAGCGCACCCCTATTTGCGGCGATACCGCCTACACAGCGGGATGTGGCGGATCAGGTGCTTGTCTGCACCGGCACGGGAAAGAAGGGCAAGGCGCCTACGCCGCCGGAGTTTGTGGCGAGCAGGACAGTGGTTTTCCTCATGGCTCTGCACAGGATTGTTGGTCTGGTGAACGAGTTGACCAACTATACCGAGCAGGAAAATAGCAATCCCCAAGTGGCTGAGGGTGTATCAAACGAAGGCGAAAACACATGCACTCAAGACGTCAAAGTCGAGCGTCCGAGGAGGATATTATGGCCGCGGAACACCCCGTGCGCGGTCATTGAGCGAGCGAGTTGTCCGGACCAACGTGTGATAAGAACTACGCTTGAGCATGTTGCTGAAGCGATCGAGTCTGAAGGCAGCAGACCGCCTGGGTTGCTGGTCGTGGGTAGAGCATGTGAGGCGTTATATACCAAGGAAAGGGGCCGTTCATGGGCTGTAGAAGAGGGATTCAAGGGGTTGGATCTGGATGACATTGTACCCACTGGCATCGCGGCGCTGGCCTGAGTCAGCTGTACTAGTAGCATGTGAAAAAATACCACAAAATGTTTAAACTTATTGTATGTCGCTTATATTCGCTGTCATAAGGGTATATGTACAAAACGCGCTCAATAGCAGTAGAGAGTCCGTATGACAGTTAGGCGCTCTCCTCAGAGGTGCCTTCTTCCTCGAAGAGAACAAGAACAGTACCTGCCTTGCAGATATCTCCCTCCTTATGGGCTAACTTCTTGATGACGCCGTTCTGAGGAGATCTGATGACTGTTTCCATCTTCATCGACTCGATCCTGAAGATCCATTAGGACTAGAAGATTTGTTGGGGTAATAACGACAACTTACACAACTAAGGGGGTTCCTTTTTCAACTGTCTCTCCCTCCTTTACCTCATTCCTCAGAATCTTACACGGCATAGGTGCTACCACCGATGCGGTAACCTCTTTGAGTCCCAACGCTTTCTCGTACCATGATGGCGGCAGCAACGCCAACTCCGTCTTGGCGCCGTGTTGGAAAACAGTAACCTTATTGTCATTTGTCGGGTCTTGAACAATTCTGGTGTCAAGCCTTTCCAAGGGGTAGAAGCTCGATAGGCTGGTGGTATTGTCAGACAACACCGTGGGTTCGCTCACGACGTTCTCAAACACCTGCGGTGTTTCCTCCCCTTTCCGAGAGACGCTTGCGTTGAAAAGCTGATTGCCCATCTGCGTGATGCTAATCTCGACCACCTCGCCCTCTTGCTCCGTGTACCCATCGACAACCTTGAAAGCGAACTTCCTCTCACCGACCGTGGCACCCTCTCCGAAGCCTAGTGGGCCCCCATGTGGTCCGCCTTCCCTTCTCAGCTCTGCATTGAGCAGTCCCAGGCTTGCCTGTACAAAGACTTCGTTTTCAACCCGACGAGGCTTGAAGAGGTCCTCCCGGAACTTGTCAATAAAGCCCGTCTCGACGTCACCTTCGATGAATGGCTCGCTCCTACATAGGCGTTTGAGAAACTCGATATTTGTGCTCAGTCCAACGACTTCGTAATCCCGTAATGCCAACTCCATTTTCCTTATAGCCGTCTCCCTGTCTTTGCCTCTGACAATTAACTTCGCAATCATGCCATCGTATGCCTCGGATACGATGTCCCCTTGTACGAATCCGGCGTCTATCCTGATGTCCTCATCTGTCTTTGGTGTAGCAAGGTGTACTAACTTGCCTGAGTCAGGCATGAAACCCTTCTCCGGATTTTCAGCATATATCCTGGCCTCAATTGCAGCACCCCTTTCCTTGATCCTCTCCTCGATTTCGTTCTGCGTCAGGGGTAGTTTCTCGCCTGCGGCAACTCGGAACTGCCACTCCACTAGGTCGGTACCTGTGACCATCTCACTCACCGGATGCTCGACCTGCAGCCGGGTGTTCATCTCCATGAAGTAGAATTTCTCAGTGTCCTTGTCTAGGATGAACTCCACCGTGCCGGCGCCCACGTAGCCAACAGCCAGTGCCGCCATGCGCGCCTTCTCCCAGAGGTCGTGCCTGACCTCGTCGTCCAGCAGCGGTGCCGGGCTCTCCTCTAGAATCTTTTGATGGCGCCTCTGCACGCTGCAGTCGCGCTCACCGAGCGCCACGCAGTTTCCGTGCTTGTCTGCGAACACTTGGACCTCAACATGGCGCGGCCGCACAACGTACTTCTCTACTAACATAACCTCACCGCCCTCGCCAAAGGATGCTCGGGCTTCCTGCCGGGCACTGCGCAACTGCGCTTCGAACTCATCGGGCGTCTTGACGATACGCATGCCCTTGCCACCGCCGCCCTTGACGCTCTTGAGGAGCACAGGATATTCTATTTCCTGAGCATGAGCCGCCAATTGCTGTGGCTCCTGATCCGCGCCGTGATACCCGGGAACACACGGCACTCCTGCAGCCGTCATAATCTCCTTGGAGCGCGCCTTGTCGCCCATGTCCGCCATGGCCGACGCGGGCGGGCCCACAAAGACAATACCTGCGTCCTCGCACTTGCGGGCGAAGGAGGCGTTCTCGCTCAGGAAGCCGTAGCCAGGGTGTAGCGCTTGAATGCCATGTTGCTTGGCCAGGGCAATGATGCGGTCGCCGTCGAGGTAGGCGGAGGGCGCGCCGAGGGCGAGCGAGTATGGTGTGCACGAGGCATGCTGCGCGGAGGCGTCCGGGTCGGTGTACAGCGTCGTGGTGCGGATGCCCAGGCGGGCGGCGGTGCGGTGGATGCGCAGGGCAATCTCGCCTCGGTTGGCGATGATGACAGAGGTAATTGGCGTGATTGAAGACGATGATGAGGCTGATGAGGTGGTCTGCGATGTGCTGATCGGTGCTGTCGTGGAGAGAAGGCGGGGGACATTGCGGAGAGGGAGCCGCCGTCGGGCGTTCTTGAGGGATCGCATTGTGTGATAACTTCAGTCTTGGGGAGTCGACTTCAAGAACTGTTGAGATGACACTGCTAGGCCGTCACATAGAAGACAATTCTCCAGATTCCCTTCACAGGTCTGGGGTAGACAGGTTCTTGAAGCCGTAAGACAACAATGCATGCCGTCGAGGAGAGTCCCTTTGCGGAGCCGAAGCTACCCGTTGCCGCTGTAAGCCGTCCCCAGACTTTCGGCTCCTTAGTGCTAAATTGGCCTGTGCTTTAGTGAAGAGTCCAGGGCAACGTCATTACTGCCAGGGGGGTTATTGGAAGCGACCCGTATGCCCCTCACCCACCTCTTAGTCAGGTGCCCCGCTACCAGACATCGACAACGACCCTCCATCTCCAGAGCCTCATGCGGCTACTGCATCTCTAACTAGCCACAGACACCTTAACGACAATTAAAATAGGAGAGGCTCGATGGAGCAGCAAATACCGCTCAACGCCTCGGCGTCTGCCGGCGAAACCAACCAGCAAGTTACGAGCACACTGCCGCCGGAGGTAGTTCAATGCCTCGAGAATGCCAGATTCGTATGATACCCATAGCTTCCTGTCACCGGTCCTGATCTGAAGAACTATCGAAACTTACACGGGTAATAGCTTCATCTGGCAACATGCACCGACAACATCCCACACGTGTCTCTCATGAACTACACCTATCTTCCCTCCTCGCCGTTCTCGCAATCTCCGGTGATCGTCATGACAACCAATCCGGCCTCGAAGAAGATGAACAACCTCATCACAAATCCCAACGTGTCCCTACTAGTGCACGACTGTACGCTCCGAGCCAAACACTCGCTCTTGTTGTCGGAAAAGTCACTAATGTCAAGCCCACAGGGGTCTCGCACCGTCCTCCCACCTCTCAGCGCCGCATGTCCGGCGGCTCGCCCGGGCCCGAGCACCGCTCCTCGCTCGCCTCGCTCCTGCTGAACCTCAACACTTCAGCGATGTCCTCCATCTCCGCAACAATCAACGGCGCCGCGCGGCTCGTCGACGCCGGAAGCGACGAGGAGCAGTACTACCGGCAGCAGCACCTGGAGAACAACACCTTCGACAGCGAGGGCTCCTCATTCGGGGCCATGTTCCAGGGGAGTAGTCTCGGGAATGGCAACGGAAACGTACAACAGCAACAGCAAGGCGAGGACGGCGGTCGCGGTTGTTTCGTCGCCGGCGAGGAGGTGAGAGTAATCGTGGTGGGAATTCAGGATGTGCGGATAGCAGATTGGAAAGGAGGTGTTCGGGACTGGGTCATTACGCCTGGCCAACAAGGCCAAGCCCAGGTGAACGGTGTCCCTTGAAACAGAATCCAGATGTCTATGTGAAGACCCACTTGCCTGTACCAATAGATGCTTTCTCGGACAACAAAATGGATTTGTAGAGCCTAATTCTATCTAGTTTGCTACCGACTTCCGCCATAATGTATTTCTACAGGTTTGTTTTTTCTGAGACGATGGGTTTCGCTGCCCTGTTGCCTGCTATTCCTCAGTGTCCACGCCTTTCGAGTGTGTACCCTCCGGCCATTTTATGTATCCTCGCTGACGGATGGCTTTCCCGCATCATCCGTAGAATCCAACAGTTCCAGAACTACAGTGAGCAAGCTCTTGAGTTTCAGAACGTCATGAAGTAAACGCCAATCGCTAGACCACCTGCAACGCCAAAACCAGAATTCAGTATACACAGCAAATCAATGCCCTCATATAATCACAAGCCGCATAACAATTAGAACAAAGCAATTGGAATGGGATTTACACATCATTTTGCCCACTCCACTACTTCGAGTGCGCACATGACCAAAACGAGAGTCGAGGGAAGTATCCTGGAAGGTGTCAGCTAATAACTTACTAAAAAGAGACAATAGTTACCCGACTTACCAGATGACGTAGCTTTGAAAAAGGATCCTGGACATGACGTTCTCGTAAACGCTGTTGATCTGGCAGATTTGCGCCAGCTGGAGCGCACTCGGTGCTCCAGTAAGTAAGAAGCACACAATGACGAAAATCGGGTCGTCCAAGATGCTGACCGGGACATACTTGGCGAAGATTGCCAAGATCGGAGCCATGATAATGGTTGGAAGCAGCATGCGACAGATGAGCGAGGCGACGAGTAGACGTGTGCCAATCTGTGCCTCCTCCGGGTCAGTTCCTTCGCGCTTCTGTGTGTTTCTAGCAAGATTCGCTCCTAGAACAACCAGGATAAGGGGCACTGCCACACCAGCACTTTGGGTGACTGCGCTAGTGACGGAGTTTTTGAGGAAGGAGCCCTCCTCAAAGAAGAGACGCTGTAGGTCAGGAACCGAGGCAACGACGACCGCTATAAGCATAGCCCACAAGGGCGGATTCATGAAATCCCAGAGAAATGCGTAAACACGAATCCAGGCCCGGTAAAGAACGTTGATAGAAATCTGAACGGGACGTGGCAAGCTGGAATAGATGCGATGGGCCAGCTTTTTGAACCTCTTTGCGACGGACGCGCCGGTTCTCTTGCACAGAAGCTTCGTTCTCGTGGGAATTCCTTTGATCCCAGAGGGGATTTCTGGCTCGTCGGGTTGACGAATGCGCGGGAAGGATAATATCCCATCATCGAGGTCGTCTTCCTCCTCTGGCAGTGGGTATGCACTGCCATTGCCATGACCGTTGAGGCCGTTTTGTTTCTTAGGCGTTTCGTAGCCTCCATTCTCAGATCCATTGAGAGATGTCCGTGATCGTGAAACAATTGGAGTCCGTCCGGCAGGCTCATAAGCTTCCGAGTCATCAGATCCAACAGCACTATGATCATGATATTCATCATCACCATGGCCATCCATTCCTTCGATCAGACCTTCCGTCTCTTCGGTACCAATGGCATCACCTCCAAACCTGCCCTCCTCAACAGATTCGTTGTTGTACTCCTCATACTTGTCTTTTGGAGCAAGCAGAACATGATATCCCCAGCTCCATCTGACTAGTTGTCCGAGTTGTTGGAAGATCATCAGATATAAAATGCCGCGTGCGCCAACCTCGTCGTCATTATCGCCCGGAATTTTATCCCAATGCAGCCCTTTCAGAGTTTGCGACAGTGAAATGACCAGCGAAATGGGGAGCGAATTTGAATTCCCGAAAACCTGCATATTTCCACAGTCAGCAAATGGTATCAATAACTTCTAAGCGTCCATTATCACTCACACCCATGGCAGTTACGAAGTTGGATGCCCGGCGGTTGAATCGGAATACCTTGGCGACTATTCTCGCGACGAGGTAGGAAACAAGAGTTTGGATTATGAAGATGATGGGGATGACAGCGAGTTCGATGAGCTTGTCGGCGTTCAACTGAGATGCGAGCTTCGTAAAGACTGCAATGTCGACGTTAGTCTCAAGGTTGCGAATTCAAGGTAACTAATGATCATACTCAGGCATGGCGTGAAAAGCATCACATTGAGGTTGGCCAAGAACTTCTGCTTGTCGGCATCGAAATGTCCCAGTCTCGCTACAATGTACCCTGGTAAACTGACGCACACAACCTCCATCACAGCCTCAAATACCAGTAATATCAGATGCCCGATCGACGGATGAGATTCGTGTGGCTTCATGAAGACGACGAATGGCGATTTCACCGTGTTTGCGGCGAGCTGAGGAGCCTCCATGTTGTTAAGCCGGAACGATGCGGGAGAGGATAGAATAGACATTCTCGTCGAAATGTCTGTGAACAGATAAGAAAAGAGGTTGTGGGACGGGAAAGCCCCGAGTAATAACTTTCGAGCGGACCAGGTAATGGCGATAGTCGTCGAGTGAGTTTAAATGGATGCTGCTGGCGGATGCGACAGCAAAGTTGAGTTGTACGAAGGAAGCTTCGCAGCGCTTGTGGCTCAGACCAGCTGCTGAGGCATTGTCAGGCACTCACAGGCTTCTTAGCGTAGCCGAGCGAAAAGACGGATCGTGGTTGACGATGGAGATACTGTGAAAGAGATTGTTGTTGGTGGTTTGAGAGAAATTATGGCGTTGCGGTGTTTTCACACCACTTGGTCAGGTCATTGCTTGGTGGTTGCTTGGCTACCTCAAGGTGAAAGGTATACCTAGTATCGCTGATAAGGAGGGAAACGAGCTAGCTCTCTTAGCATTCTGAGGTAAGGCCGGAAGACGTGGGAGCTGTTAGGGCAGTGGCGACACAGCACTAAGGCAGGCAGGCAAGTACACCTCCGCCGGGGTA